TTTCTTCGCAGACAGTATCTGAAAATCTTTATAAATAAAAAAGTTACACGATTGCTATAACAAAATTGCTATGCACTGGAAGTAAATGGATGGGTTGTTTAAAATTTTTGAATGGAAAAAAAACAACCTCTTATCGAATTTTTCTTATTTAAAGATATTGTAAAAGATCCGATCTTCAAAATAAAAAAAAAGTTTCGATATCTAAAGTGGTTCTTAAATTATGATGTGATGTGTTAAAAAGTTGAGTTTTTAAATTATCGCGATTACTGACGTTTTCGCGTTATAAAAAAAATGGACACCCTAACGATATTCTTATAATTCCATTTCAGATGCTGCGAAACATATCTAATGATTTTATCTAGTTATCTTTTCGAAAAAAAGGACTTTTAAAAATAAGCGGTTTGCGATCGTGATTTTACTTTACTTGATAGGGAAAGGCGTACCGGCAACGCCGCAACAGCACATTGGAACAGGCCGATATAGTCACCTAAAAAAAAATCGAATCTTGCTGTGTATCAAACTCAAGTACAAACCTAATTTCGTTATATTTTTAAATGTTTTTATTTACCTCAGACCTACATAGTTTTCGATAACATCGTACTGTTATAAGCGTCTATATCTCATTAAATAATATACAAAAACCTCTTTTGTCACGAATTTAACTAGGGCAAAATTATAAAAAAGGATATTAAAGAAAATTTAGGTCGTTATTTTTTGAAAGTCACGTTCTGAAGTTAATATGCTGGCTGGCCACTTTACATAGAAGTCGTTTTATCGATAAACTCTTTTTCTTTATTGTTCTGGTAGCATTTTTCAATTTCAGAAGCCAATTAGGGCAAAATTTACTAACATATTCATATAAATAAAATATACCGATTTTACTTTATAACAAAGTAATAAAAACATATACAGGGTCTGGCAATATAGTTCAGTCATTGGGGATTTTTGCTTGGAAAAAAGTCCGGAAGTTTTGCAACTTTGCAGGTTTATAGGTTTTGGGCTCCCTAACTGAAATCCATAAAATGTACATTTCCAAACTTGCCGCCGGCGCCGCCATCTTGGCAAGATGGCGCCCAAAATCGGTATTTTGTGAATATCTCGAAAACTATGCGTATTTCGCGAAAATTTGAGGAGAGCAAAATTAAAGAGAATAAAAATTTCCTATAAAAAAAGGTTTTACGAAAATTTTCGCTAAAGTCAACCGTTTAAGCACAAAATCCCTGGAAATTTTACAATTTTGCGTAAAATATGATATATTATGTATAGTCGATTTTCCGAAATCAAATGTCGATTAGGGTTCACTAAAACTAGTTTCTTCAATTTTGTCATAAAACAGTGGCGTATCATTAATTCGCTCATTAATTTATGAATAATTAATTTTAATTATTGAAAATGTGTACTTGTTTCCACACCACTCAAGAGTTAAAGTATATGGCGCGTTTATTTTAACGTGGTCTCTCCGGAGGCCTACTCCACTAGATAAATTAAAAACTTTAACTTCCACTAGATAAATTGAAAACTTTAACTTATCTGCACAAGCCCGACGGATCTGGCTCATTGATGTCAAAGTCGATCGTGTCTGCTGTGCTGGGCTCATCAGGGTGGTCTCTCAATACATCCAACTCTTCATCTGCAGCCGCCAGAGGGATATCTACAGGCAAGTCCAACTCCTCTTCATCGGATTCGTCGAGTTTCTCTCTACAATTTCCTGTCACACAATGTACCGTTTGTGTCCAGGAAGGGTTCATATTTTCATAGATGTCGACTTTCGAAAGAAATCGGTACATTTATTTTATTTCGTATATTTTTCATTTTATTGATTTTATGGAAAGCCCTGTTTATTTAATCTGTTTTCCAAAAATCAGCTTTTTACGTCACGCGCTTTAATCAGGATCGTGATTAATCAATGACCAGATTTTTTTTTCGAAACACCCTGTATACATTTTTAAAAAATCTTAAAATATGTAAAAAAACAAAATAAAATATATGTGTTTAAGCGTTTTTTCGGAAACTTGACCGTTTTTTAAATAAAAAATATTGTAATATTTGAGGGGTGGTTTCACCCTCTTGGAACTGGAATTTCGAAAAATCCCTTCTTATCGAACCTCTACACCCTAGAATCAACCTGTATGCCAAAATTGAGCTTCTTACGTTGAGTGGTTTGAGCAGGATCGTGATTAATCAGTATGTCAGTCACTTAAGGATTTTATATATTAGTATAGATATAGATTATTGCAAATATAGAAATATAACTTCTAAAAATGTTGATAACTAAAGTTTTTTCACATGCTCCTTTCTTCTTTCTGAACTTTTCATTAACTTTAGAAAATGTTTACCAATCGAAACAAACTTAGGTACTTATGGTAATCCATAAGACCAAATTATAAGAATGTATTTCACGTAATTTTACCATTTTATTTACTATGAAAATTAAAAAAAAACCACTCTATTTCTGCCAAGGATTTCTAGTCAGACATCGATGATGTGTTAACTTTTACTATTTTTAAATTACTTATGTTAAAAATACTTTTATCCCGCAGTTGTTGATTTTCGTGAAACAGCAGTATGTAGTAATAAATTAAATTAAAATTTGTTTTAAATAATATGTATAACAGGGTGTCCGTTATTTACCAATTTGATCATTTCTCTCACGACGCCCTCTAAATTTTTAGTTTATTGTCTACAAAAAATAACAGACCATTGTAAACCCTTAATATTCACAATAAACCTCCTACCGGGAGTTTCTGAAAAGTGGTTCACTTCTATAACTTTTTTAATTTTTTAGATAAAAAACGAGATTTGGTATGTTAGTATAGGACATAAATCAGGATTGATCGACGTTTTCATTTATTTTCGGTCACTACCTATTTCACCGGAAATGACAACAACTTTTGATTTAAATGGTACCCTCGGTATTTTTTTACCGTATATTATGATAGAAAATGACATTCTAAATAGAATGATATATTATATGTCAACTTTTGACATTTTCAATTAAAAAATGGCCATAAATAAACGTAACGACAATTTTACTCCAAATACCAAGTATGTAGTACCAAATTATTCGTAAAAAATGCTTTTTCCAAATATGCTGTATTTTATATAAAAAAAAATATCTTTATCTTTTTATTTACGATTTATGAAAATGGTTACTTGAACATCGAACTACAAATTACTTAATGATAATAGTTAATTCTACCTGATATCCACATTTTTTAAATATGTTAGGCAAATTTTTACAATTGTTTTTAATTAAACTTTAAAATGTATTCTGCCCTTATCATATACAATACATTTTCTTAACTTGTTGATAAAGTATAGTTTTCAAATTTTTTAATATTTGGAAACTTTATCACCAGGTATATTATTACTAGCTGCTAAATACTCGCTAACGCAATTTTAGGACATGCTTTTTATTATCTGGATTTTATTCTGTTCATCTTATGCTGTTGTTTATTTCATATTAATATTCGTGTTTTAGATCTAAATTTTAATGCTATTCAATTACTTTAACGCGATAAAAAGTTAATGTTATTTATTAATACCTTTGTGTATAATATTTTTCATATTTATATCTGGCAAAACTATCAATAAATACTATTATTTATGCAAAAACTATATGCAGTACCATATGGCACAATTCAAAAGCGCGACTATTGCGGTGACGTCACAAATCGATGACTCTGGCCTGTATCTCATGTTGGTTATGGTTGAAGCTTTAAAAATACATAATGTATTTAAAAAAACAGAAGAAATATGGCTTTAAATATAATATTTACATCATATCTATAATATCAATACATAATATCAATACAATATCAATACATAACTACTTCCGAACCCTGCTCTTTAGACAAACGTAGAGTAACATAAATAGTCATGAAAGAGAAAAGATTCCATTAATAGTACAATACGAAAAAAAAACGGCGTCGCGATGGCTATGGAATGAAGATCGCTATCATTTTATAAGTAAACTTAAATGGGAAGGATGACTGGCGAATTATATTTCAAGCCAACTAAACGCCGGTTTTTTTCGATCATATTATTGTACATTCACATTGTTATTTTCATATTGTAGGCAATATAAAAATAAATTACTACCTTCTTAAGGCCAACTGGCAGTAAGGACCATTAAAAACTAAAGATGCGTCCATTTTTCACAAAAAAACGGCATCAAAGACAGCTGGGGAATGACGTCTACAGCTTGACCTCGCCATATCATCGACTGTCATTCCCCAGCCGTCTTTGACGCTGTTTTTTCTTCTATCGTATCTATCTTCTATCATAAGATATTATTTATTACAGCAGGCCACTCACAAGGGAGCAAGTTGAACAACATACTTAGCAACATTTTGATCAACCAACACCGCATTAGAAAACCTATTGTACCACAACTTCATTTACAAACATGTTGCCCTTAGTGTGTGGACTGCTTTAGTTTAAATTAACTAAACTAAAATTTACCATAATATAGTACCCTACATCTGGCAGTTCTCATAGTAAATATTTGAAGTTTGTTGACTTGGGTGTTCTAAATTTTGAATCACTATGACACAGTACCAATAATTTCAATACAAAATACTAAAAATATACAAGACAAACAGAAATTCTATTAAATAACAATAAATTGTGTTAAAAAATATAGAACTAATCACAATCTTACTGCAAATTTTTACTGACAATCTACTAATAAGAGATAAAATATGCATACACAATAATGATAAGAAAATGTTCATCAAATATAATTAATTGTAAATACAAATATCTAGTAGGTATCTTCAAATAAATTCATATTTTGTGTATGGAGGGTAACACAGACTGTAGCTCTTTATCTTATGATAAAATGTTTTCATTTTCTATCTCATCAATTAAGAATATGCATAGGGAATATGTGTAAATCCATTAAGATTAGCTAAGATATGAACACTTTCTTTATAGGAAAAAGAACACTTGAAACTATAGAAAGGTACTTGTAGGTAGCAAAATCAAAGTAAACATACCTCTGTAGGTTTAACTTCGTCCGTTTCCAGAGGCTGAACACCCGGTGGCAGTTCTTGAACACCTCCATCAGCAAAACACACAGAATACAACACGAAAAAGACGAGTAACAAAAGAACCTTTCGTCTAATATTTGTTAACAAACTCATTTTTGTATACTTATTACTATCGTTTCTATTCAAGTTTTCCTAATTAATGTATAAAGAATATTACTACTTCAATATGTTATTTATAAAAGACGAAGCGGTGAATCTACACACAAAAGAATATAAAATACTACGACATTATACAATTTCTGTTGTTCTAATCACGGTGTATTTGTGGTGTAATTATGGAATATATAAAACCGAAAGGAATTTAATCGGCACGAGATCACCACATCTTTGATAAAACTGATTTTCTGATTTTTATACAAGCCCGAGAGCTTTGAAAATTGATAAATAACCTTAATACGTCATCTTCCCCTAATGTCACTTTCAATATTGAAAACGTCACTTAAATTTAAATTTAATATATTTATAATCAAAGTTATACGAAAATGCAGTTATATTTAAGTTAGAAATAGAAACCAGCCAAAATATAAATTATTTTAAGCTTTTAAATTTTAATTTAGAAATTTAAATTTTTTGCATATTTCTTGACAGCTATCTCATATATAGGCAACTAAAAATACATACAATACATACATTACCATGGAGCGAATAAATAAAATTGAAGTATATATATGATGCTATGACTTATTTATATATGATTTTTTTTAAATATTTGAATATACACGTAAATATAAGGAAATCTCGTTTGTATTGTGAGCTAATTAATGTTAAATCAATGTTTTTGCTATAAATTTAACACTAATTTCGTTTACTTATGTAGAAATGTATAATCTAAGTTGTTGAAGCACTTCAATATTTCTGAACGTACTTAAATAAACGTCATGTTCCATTTTTAGGTTAACAAACCATTTGACATTTTAATCAAAAACAAAAAATTCTGCCGATTCATAATCACAAATTATTTTCATTTGCATATAGTATTGTACACTGCGAAAATGGTAAATTAATATCTTCCTATATTGTAAATTTGCCAGGATATTTACCTAATTAATTTTATACTTTCAGAGTTTTGGACTTCCTTCATTAAAAGCAAAACCAACTCAAGCTCCAGATTATGGATTCCATGAGGGTGATTTTGGGGTTCCTGACCTCATGACTTCTGGACTAGCCTCAGCTAAAAGTACCGTAGAAAACGTCCATGCTTTACAACCCTCTGAGCAAAACGTAAGTACTCCAAATGCTATGCCAACATATAATCTAAGAGTGTGAAATTTTCAGTACCGCCAAAACATTCACGGCATGAATATGAGCATTTTGCGTAACAACCAAGGACTGCACGCACCCCTCAGAATTGCGATGGAGTTAAAATCTGCTAAAAAAGTTGGTCATTTGCCTTTTCTAAAGTCCCACAATGTGATGCACGATTCCCTAACTGGTCGTGATTTAGAAATTGGACCAGAAGATTTATTCAACACGGGAGAATTTTTGGAAGTATCAAGACAACCTCATTCGGTTGTGGAAAGATCTTTGGGAATTCTATAATTAAGTTTTTCTTTTGTATTTGTAATAACTTTTTATATTAATAAACAAGTATTTATTGTTATACACTTATCTTTCAGAGGTAGTATACATACACCTATGTACCTATCTTAATACTTAACACCCAATAAAGAAAATATAAAAAGCCATGTCTTCTTTCAATTACTAAAAAAAATTACTCTCTACCTTGTACTATTGATCTGTTTCTAAAGGAGGTAGAGTTTTATTAATCCATTTAAATAAACCTTCCAATTCACTTTTCTTTAATTCGTGTAAAGTATATACTAAAGGAACAAATTCTCCCTTTACATTGAGCTTGGTCAGTTCTTCGAAAGTCTTTTGGCCCCACGTAATTGGCACCATTGTATCTTTTTCACCGTGGGCCATGTATAAAGGAGTATTTTCAGCTTTAAGTTCACTATACACTGCGGAATTTTTATTAAGGAATGAAGACAACGCAAAAACACCCGCAAAACCTGGGTTAAACCTAAAGGCACTGTGTAGGGCTAAGGCACCTCCCATTGAGAATCCACCTAATGAAAAATAAAACCCATATTAATACACTAAAATTCCAAGATAACCAAAATACTTAATACCAATGATAATTCTATGTAAAGGCACCCCACTTTGTACTATATCATTCACTAACGTTTTGATAGAACTTCCTATATCTGTTAATGTCTCAATATGTTCAGGAACTTCAGGGGTAATGTTATATCTATCAAACCATACATAACTCAGCTAGAAATTGGTTAAAAATAAGCTTAAAAATATAAAATAAGTTCATTAAGTCATACCTCTCCTCCAAGAGGTGTATAGGGCCTAAGAGGAGCTGTAGGAAAATAGAAATTGATATGAGGAGAGGCAAAATCACCAATAAGAAACTTAATCCAGTTTAAAAATCCTTGTCCAGTATCACCTAGAAGACAACCATAAGACAACTATTAATTTGTATCAGTTTTTGTAAGCAGCATAAGTTTACCTGATCCATGCAAAAATATAACAGAAGCAGAACATAGTTTATTTGTTTGAGAAATTTTTAACAACGGTCCTAAAGACATTATGTGATTATTTATAGTATATTAATAAATTATAAAAAGTTATTAGCTTAAAATTAAATGCATAGGAAAATTACAACTACATAATTTCATAATTATCAAAATTATGCTAAAATCATATGAAATGAATATTTGGTTGCATAATTTAATACTAATATGTCAAAAAATTAAAGGGATAGTAAAAAATTTACAGTTAAATACGGTCAGTAATTCTCTAAATTCATAAGTTTTATTGATGTTTTGTATGTAAATAAATAATTTCAGATAATAATCAACATTATTTATAATAACTTGTTACGTAATAAAGATTATTTTTTATTTTAGAGTGACATAACCTAGCATAGACAACCTAAGAAAATGGTTTCAGGTATAAAAATTTTCTCCTCCATTTACAAGGTAAGAAATTACTCCTCGGTCAAGCGTAATTTCACAGCTGGGAAAGTGATCTTTAATAAACCAAGATCTCAAAGTTCGGGGTCGGTTCCAGACGTGCCAGGGCTTAGCCAGAATGTTGTAAAAGTTGCAAGCGAACCTGTAGGGCCAGGTAATTGTAGAGAAAATATTTGATTTATAGAATTATTCTAGTGTAGTTGTTGCTATAATCTGGAAACTATTTCAGGTGCTTCAAAAACTTCAGACTACAAGAATCCTGAATATTTCTGTTATGACAAGAACAGTTACTTCGAAGCTGAAGTAGAAATATTGAAATATAGGTGCCCACAACCGTCTGTCTATGAATATTACAAACATACTGAGCCCAAGTAATTAGAAAAAGAGACAGCAATAGAAAGAAATATGTATTTATGTATATTATTTTGTTTATTGAATAAAGGTATGTGATAAAACATTAAAAAGATTTACATTTACATTTTATTTACACTTTTGCACTGCTGTTATGATGTTTTGGTAATCATCTGTTAAAATATTGTTGTTTAGACATGTTGTTCCTCCTCCACGCAAAACCTGTGGTCCCTAAAATTATAATTAACATTCTTAATTCATATATAATGACTATAAATAAACCAATTTTAGTATATAAGATACTCTGCTATTGTAAGAAAATTTAAACTTTGAAAAAAAAATATTGACTATACATACATTATTACATATATGTACTATATTTTTTAAAAATGTTATATTATTTTCTTTTTTCTTCTTGGGAGAACCCAAGCTCTAAGTTTTTGAAAATATAGAAGTAGAAGAAATGAAATAAAAATCATCTGAAGTTTTCAAAATAATTTTAAAATTATGGTAATTTATTATTGTGGTTAAAGAATAAAAAACTATGATAATGAATACAATTCTACAATATAACCAAGCAATATACAGGGTGGCGCCTCGGATACGACGCGGGGGCTCCAAGGAGAACGGTTTTTACAGTTTGTATTGAAATGAAATTTTGTAGGCAAAATATAATTTAAAGTATTTTTTAAAATTACATAGAATTCTACAGCGTGTTCCCGAAAAAAGTTACACTTCAAAGTTGTTTTTTTTTGTAATATATAAATTAATTAATTTTCGGATTCTGGTAAAAAAATAAAAAACACAGCCACCTAGATTTTATAAAATAATACAGATCTACTGACAATAAGTCATAAAAATGAAAATATCTAAGAAATTGTTTTTCTTAGGGGTAAGCAACCCTAATATACTATTTTGAAGAGACACGAATTATCCATTGAATATCGAAATAATATACTGGGTGTTATATTAATTTTGGCTCACCCTGTATCACTTTTCAGATCAAGTTTTTATTTCTATACCGTGTAAATTCCAATTTAGATAGCTTTTACTGAACCTTACGTATGCTTCTCTAATGAAACTTACCTTTATTTTTTTCATAGAATCCAAAAATGAATTAATATATCTTAGTAACTTTTAAGACACCCTGTAGAACTCTATATATTTATAAAATGCTGTAATTTAACTTACATAATATTATGCTCACAAAATTAAATTTCAATACAAATTGTCGTTCCTCCTTGTTGGAGCCTCCGTGTCGTATGAGAGGCGCCACCCTGTATAATCATGCCATTATTGCACTTTCTAATTGAATTTTGTTATATTTTATAAATGATACATTACCGCTCTGTTTATATCTCCTATACAGATCCACTTATTTTTAGAAGTGGTATGGGAGGAAACTGCCCATTTTGAATGGTCAACGGTTGTTTTAAATGACACGTTTGCTTCCGGAATTAAAATAGAAACCACGTTGTTCACCCTAGAGTAGAAAATAAATTACATAAACAATATAACAGCTCAACAATACTTAAATATTAATTCTAAGTTTTTTTTAGTTTCAAGGAAAAATAATTAAAATTAGATGAAAAATTAAGTATCGAATTAATTAGTGTTTAAGTTTGTAGTACGTTGACAACACTATCATATTGTACTAATTAAGTACAATATGATATTTTAAAACTGTTATTTCTAAATAACAGTTCGCAACATTCGTTCGTTTAAAAATAACGGGTACGAAAATAACAGTACAGTCTCCAAAGATCGAAGATCCACAAGTTGTACCAAGCTTGCAACAATTGTTACTTCAAAAAAATAACAGATGTGAAAATAACAGTACATTGATATCTATGTATCACAATGCAAAGTCACACATTACACTGTAAATTTAAACTTTATTTTTAAAATAATAGTAACAGATACAATTGTTATTTAAAAATACCAGTTTTTTCCAGCTGTCCAGCAGTGATATAACAGGATATGGCACTGTTGTAGTTTTTATGAACTGTCTTAGGGTTTCGCGTACAGTACGGTTTCTAGTGATAACTATAGGGGGGGTTATTTTACAACTGTTATTCTTAAATAACAGTTCGCTAATATTGCTACTTCAAAAAAATAACGGAGATATGAAAATAACAGTGCACAATATTGGGATATCGCAACCCCACAGGTTTTGTCCCAACTTACAACAGTTAACTGTTACTTCCAAAAAATAACAAATTTGAAAATAACAGTACCTATAGGTGATGTAACTTTATAATAAGAGCATCAGTTCCAACTGATATTTCAAAATATCAGTTTTACCTACCTCTAATGATAACACAATATATAGTCTGTGAAACGAATAACTTTGAATTTGACAGTTCCCGCGGGCTTTTATAGTGTTAATTTTACCAAAGACATCTAAATAAAAGGAGACGAAACAATTTACATTTTACCGCGATCACGAACCGTGTTGCACAAAAATCGATGATGCCAATTTTAAGTGACCGGTGGTAGATTTCGGCTGATTACGGTTTGAGTTCTAAATGCTATTGTCATTACAAGGTCATTAGACTAAATATTTGTGTAGTTATATTATTTTAATTTAAAAATGATATAGTTTACATGAAATATACATAATATACAGTTAATAAATACAATATATATATATATATATATATATATATATATATATATATATATATATATATATATATATATATACTGCTATACTTTCTTTCTGCTCCATATATATATATATATATATATATATATATATATATACCTATTTATAGTAATAAATAACTTTGATAAACCAAATAAACTATGAACCATACAAATGCAGCAAATGTTTTACAAAATACAAATAATGAATAGATACATAAGATAATGGGTAAAATGTAAAATATATTTTAAATTTTGGTGTTTGAAAATCGATCTAATTTAACAAAACAACATTCAATATCTACTACTTACTATGGCTGAAATCGTATTCCTAGTCAATGTAGATAGTTTTAGTGTTAAGAATAATAATTTAAAAAAAAAACATGATCATCTTTTGACTTAAAGTTTATATTAGTTTATTAATTGCAGTAAACATTATGTGGTGTGAATATTTTATATGTAATTTTTGGATTATATTCGACACTATTTTTTCATATGACACAACACTGATGAAGGCATGATGTTAGCGAAACGTTTTTTTAACCAAAAAAATAATGAAAAACAAATGAAACTTTACTCAGCGTTTTTTGAACCTAAATCCCAAGAAAATAAAAATTTTCAGAATAATTTTATAAAATGACAGCGATAACATTTCATAGCCATCGCTGCAGCCTTTTCTATGATATTGTATTATTTGCAAATATAATTTTCGAACGATGCTTGCAAAATATACATATACATTTGTGAATGCAAATAATAATACATCACTATTAAGTAGATATTGAATGTTTTGTTAAAATTAGATCGATTTTCAAACCCCAAAATTTAAAAATATATTTTACATTTCACCCATTATCTGATGTATCAATTCATTATTTGTATATTGCCTTAAAACATTTGCTGCATTTGTATGGTTCATAAAATATTTGCCAAAGTTATTTATTACTATAAATAGGTATATATATTGTATTTATTAACTGTATATTATGTATATTTCATGTAAACTATATCATTTTAAAATACAAACCAAAATACGAGGAATTATTATGTTTTTCCATGTATTCTACAACATATTTATTAATCCGTAGTATCTAACTAGCGTGACATCATAAATCGCTCCGAGGCTGTTCTATTAGAACGGCATTGGTCTGATATTTAGAAATGTCAAAAGCTGATGACATTTTACTTTTGACAATTGTGTTGATTTTTGTAGAGAGGAAGAACTGTCACTTGTTTTATTATTTTCCTTTTCTATTTCACGAAAGTAAAAAGAGTTACCTATCTGATTCGTTCAGGCACTCAATTTAAAGAATATCAGTAACTTTTTTGATAGAGGAATTTTATATTTACCATGTTGGTAAAAAATAACGGTCAAAATTCAAAGTTATTCATTTTATAGACTATAGCAATGATGGGATAAAGTTGGGATTGTCGATTGTCGCGTCATATTGTACTTTTTAATTAATGTTTACATACAGTACATACCAAATAAACTTTTAGTCATGTGATTAAGCTTGACCGGCACAACGTTGCCCCCTATTATATATTTTCTTTTAATCAAAATATTTTAGAAAACAAAAATAAATTAATTATAAATATAGAAACAGTAGTTATTATTTACATCAACAAAACTCACCTTCTTAAAAGCACTTAAGGGACATAAAGGGCCATTAACTACCGCTTTCCCGTTCAAAATATTCTAATAAAGTTGCAATGAGTTTTTACGGCTATAGCTATCTTGTCTTGTACACTTCGCACTAAAGGAGGTTCTAAAAAGAACAATGTTCGACTGCAAGGTCTGCTAGTAAACGTTTTCAAGCTCAAAGTATCACAACACTATTTATTTAAACCAAAAACTCGTAATGCGAAACTAACGTGTCAAAACGAATGACAATACCGGGAAATAAATAAATAAATGCGGCAACTTGGCATTTTTTACAGCAGGGCTACCACCTGAATACCCAGCGCGAATTTTAAATTCCAGTTAGTCAATACGGCGCCGAATATGACCATGGTTGGGAACAATGAATTTAAAAATCGCACCCTCGATTACGTAACTAAAAGTTTAATTGATATTGTCAAGGTCAAACTGTATTACTGGTTGCATAACTGCATTACTGCTACATAACTGCAACGTGCATTGAGGAACCTGGCGAATACGCCAGAAAGGAAAAGAAAATTACAGAATTCTTTAGAACGTTCCAGAAACACTCGCCAGGGGATATATAAAGGCCCGCGGTTTGGTAGTTGACAGTTGAAGTTTGATAACACCGCGTTTTAAATTGTGAAATACCGTTAGAATAATAGTAGTTGCATAAATTGTGTTGTAAATATAAGTTGTGTGTACAGAGTGAGACAAATAAATTCGTTAAACAAACAATTGGTGTCGGAAGTGCGATTCAAGAGGATTTTAAGAAGAAATTAAGTGGATTGGAAGATTTTTAGACCGAATTAGAGTATTTTTATGGTTGGTACAAGGGAGCAAGCTAAGAAAATGGAGGAAGTAAGCAAGTGGGCGATTTATGGAGAAATTAGAAGAGAAAGGAAGAGGAAAAATTACGACGTCAACAGAACAGGACCGGCTTGAGAACATTTTTTCGAAGATTTGAAAATTCAACGACAACAAGATAAACAAGAAGAACAGGACCGGCTTGAGAAAATGTTGGGTAATTTGGAAATTCGTTTGGAGGAGCGACGTCAGAGAGAAAAGCAAGAAGAACAGGACCGGCTTCAGAAAATTTTAGAAAATCAGGAAATTCGACTTCACAAAAACTTCGAGGATATGAAAAAGGAGCAACAAGCAATGTTGGAAGTACGTTGCCAGGAACAGCAGAACCACTTCCAAAAAGCCGTAGAAGATCTGGAGGAGCGCCTTCAGCAGAAGTTAGAAAGGTTGGAGATGGACCTACAGACGACCAAGGTACAAGTAAGGACACCTGGCGTTCCGGGAACTGCGAACCTTAAGGCCCCGACCTACGATGGATAAACGACCTGGACGATGTACCACCGCCAGTTTGAAGCAGCGGCTGCTGCCAACGGATGGACCGACCACGAGAAAGCAGCGGCACTTGTCATCGCGCTGCGTGGCCCTGACCTGGAACTGCTGCAAACTATTCCTGCAGCCCAACAGCAAGAGTACGAAACCTTGGTTACTGCATTGGATCGAAGATTTGGAGACCAACATCGACGTCAACTTTACCAGGCCCAGACACGCATGCAGAGGTCCGGAGAGAGTCTGTAGGAATTTGAAGCAGACTTATGTCGGCTGGTACACCTAGCGTATCCTGAAGCACCGGAAGGATTTAGGGAGGAACTCGTTGCTCAGTGCTTTATCAGCGGACTAAAAGACAACGAATTACAGAGGGCGCTGCAAATATCCCGATTTTCTACCAGCAGCGAAGCACTGGTCAGGGCGCTGGAAATTGAAACTGCTTTTAGCGCCATCCCTAGACCGAATATAAGATCTGTAACGGTCGAGGAACAGCCCGGAAGTTCTCACATACGTTTGGAGGAGATATTTAGTAAACTATGTGAGTTACTAGTGAACAAGGGTACCAACAACACCCAGACAGAGAACCAGAGAAGATCCCAGGACATAAGGTGCTTTAGATGTGGCAGGAATGGCCACATTAAACGGGATTGCCATCCAGAGAACGTAGGCACCAGGAAAACTAAAATCAGTCAATACTAAGGGGCGAGTATTGACTGGGGAGAACAGAGCCCCCAGGATTTTTTCCATTAGGAGTTTAGGAAGAACCGCTGACAGTTTGGTGATCGACGGGAAAGTCAATGGAAAGGGAATTCGAATGACTGTGGACACTGGCGCTATGGTATCGTTGGTGCGAGCTAATTCAGTGCAAGGGTTGAAGCTGATGCCTCTGAGAAGAAGAGTGTGTTTACGTACAGTTACGGGAGAAATGGCCGTTGTACGGGGAGAGGCTATCGTCGAAGTGAAGTTAGGAAATTTGAAGTTTCAGCATAGTGGCAAATATTGAAGATGACTTCATCTTGGGCATGGATGTGATTCGTCAACATGGATTTTCGTTCGATCACCAGAGAAATATCCTGAATATCGGAAATGAAGAGTTCATGTTATCTCCAGACGAGGGACCGGGAAGAATGGATGTAAGATCAGCGGAAACTGTGATGATACCTGGTAATACCGAGAAGATCGTATTCGGTAAAGTGGAGAAAATCGCTGGGTGCTGTGTTGGACTGGTACAAAGTAGCGACAACAAACAAGATAGGTACTTAGTAGGAAAGTCATTGGTGAACACCGACAAGAATACACCGATCAGAATTGCGAATGTTTTCCCGAATTGTGTCAAGATTCAAAAAGGTGACAAGATAGCCATCTGCGAACCTGTAAGAAGTGTCACCCGATGTGATGAAGTGCCGTCAGCTGTTATACAAATGGCATCCAAAGAAACACTAAACATCTAGAGCAGCCATAGGATCACCTAACATCTGAGGAGAAACGGAAGGCTAAGCAGTTCCTGCTAAAGCATGGCAGTATTTTTGAGAAGAACAACAGTGGAAGAACGGATTTTGTGAACCACCGGATTAATACTGGTCATGCTCAGCCGATTCGACAACGTCCTAGAAGGGTGTCCCTTTCCAAACAACAAGAAATGGAGACAATGGTAGATAAGATGTTAGAAGATGGAGTAATCGAAGAATCATCAAGTCCATGGTCATCCCCTGTTGTTTTAGTGACGAAGAAAGATGGTAGTACACGATTCTGCGTAGACTACAGGAAACTCAACGACATCAAAACCCTCAAAACCCGCGGGAAAATTAAGTGTTGACCCAGACCATAGTTTAGAGTTAATATTCGGTGCCCAGAGACCGCCAGAGAGAGCTTGCCAGAGATTATGGCCAGAGAGATGTATTAGCCACAAATAAAGTTTGTATACTATCTTGTATATGATACCAAAAACTAGAGTGTCTGTAAAATAGCAGCACACGATAGGTAAATAATAATCATATTGAATAATTATTATATTGATAAATGTAACAATAAATGCAGGAAGTTGCTTGAGCTGGAAAGCCGGAAATCTTTTTATATCTTTTTTGGTATGTGGTGTTTTTTTAAATAAACCCTTGCTTGTTGTGTATTAACACACACTGTAATTGTTTTTAATAAAATAACTCGATTAGATTTTCTCAATTTTATACCGTTTTTTTTTCACAATATTTTGAAGTAATCACTTTTGTCACTGAAATTTTAAACATATTAATTTTCTGCTATGCGTTCCAATTTTACCAACTTAATTCTTTGTAAAATAAAATAAACTAATTGGAAACAAAAAATAACAGACACGCATCTATCACTGTCAAGGATCTTGTCGTTGGACAGACTATAGTTAACATCTTACTTACTCAAACGTCTTATCGCACTCAGAAGGGAGCCTGTCAGGCTCATTAGGCCACGTCTCCACGTACAAGTCCGACTCCAACTTTGGCCCTACCAAGTCTGCATACAGGTCTTTATGAAACTTTCCCGATTTAGCGAAAGAAATAAACTCTATTCCCTGACTAGAATTGATGTGGGCTATGTTAAAAAATGGAGAAGTTTCTATGGTTATATTATTGGCTGCCCTGTACAGATCAGGAGTGGAAGTTTTAAAGGTGTCAGGAATGTTCTGGTCATAAATATGAGGCTCGTTGTATTGCAGTTGTAAACCTAAAAGACAGAGATGGTTCAGGAAAATACACAGTGTACAGGGTGGCTCGAATTCGACGCTCATCATTGGGATTTCGGAAACCGTAAGAGATACAGGATCGGTTAAATGGAGGCAAAGTTGCGCAATTTGATGCTAAATAAAATGCCGTATTGCATTTTGAAAAATTCCGAATACTTCCGAATATATTCGAAAAAAAAAACGGAATTTTCAATTTTGTGTTCTATTGTTTCCTGACTTTATTTGTTAAGATGAAAAACTTAAAATGAAAAACACATTTTGGCCACTTTTTCTGCTCTATAACTCTGTGTGATTAAATATTGACTCTGACGTTTCGGCTTCTGGCGACCATCATCAACTTAAGTGTTGTAAATACGGACCTGATTTTTTTTCAATTTAATTAAATCCTTTCATCACTCTTAAAACACTATATATAGTCGCTTTGATATTTGCCGACGTTTCCTACAGAAAATTCCTCCATCACCAGAATATTTTATGCAAAAAATAAATAAAAATGCAATACGGCATTTTATTGAGCGTCAAATTGCGCAATTTTGCCTCCATTTAACCGATCCTGTATCTCTTACGGTTTCCGAAATCCCAATGATGAGCGTCGAATTCGACCCACCCTGTACAGGGTGGATCAAATTGGACGCTTTTAAATGGAAACTGCCTTTTCTATAGGATATAGACAAAAACTAATATGGGAGTCTGGAGGTTAATTTTTATCAGAAACATGATGCTAAAAACCGTGTTTTCCAAAAATGTGCATTTTTAACAAATCGCTGTAACTTTTTTACTATGGAAAAATTTGTATTTGTATGAAAACATTTCCAAAGCACCTTTTTACGTAGAATTTAATGGTTTGAGTATCTTTTTTAAATTAATAATTTAAGAATTATCAACAGAAAAATTGATTTTTTATTTCGGTATATTTTTAATTAATTGAAATTAACTTAAAATTACCTTTCCAAAAATATAGCACACTTGAGATTTTGTAATAGTCCCTTTCGAAATACCGAAGTTTTAAAAGTTCGCCATTTTTAACTAGTAGGCTTTGGACACCTTATTGATGATCTGCCCCTAATGGAACTCGAAAACATATTTTTCCAGCAAGACTAGGCACCGCCTCAGAACTCTGAAGTTATCAGCAAATATTTGCAACCCATTTCGAGAATAATTGAATAGAGGATAGAGCTAACCAAGATCCCAGTCGTTGGCCGCCGAGGCAGCCGGACTTAGCGCCTATGAATTTTTATCATTGCGGAAGAATAAAGGTTCTTATGAAATGTTAATGAATTCCGCGAGAAATGTTCAAAAACGGTCCGGTCTGTCCATAACAAAATGTCATGTCTTGATTTGTTATTTATTTTTATTGTTATTAGATATAGTTTAAATGTGTTGATGTTGTTAAATATAGTTTAAATTGTTATAAAATTCTACATCTCTCATTGTATATATTATTTTCGTTTTAATTGCTGCTCACAGCTAGATTTTTTTTAGATTTTGGCTCTAACTCACTGACGACCAGGTTGCAACGACCTGGCCGTCGGCTGGCCGGATGTATTGCGTTTATAGCTGCGGCCAGATGAACGACCAGTTTCAACAGAGTTGTCAAATCTAACGTTTTTTTACGTTTTATCAATTAGAAAATATTGTTTCAGAAAGAATTAAGTTTCAGAAATGTTAAAATATCCGAGTTAACTAAAAAAGGAAGTTGCTATTCATGAGCTTATTAAATGTTCTAAGAGAAAATAAAATATTTTGCGTTGAATTTGAGGGATTTCATCCGAAAAATTATTAATTTGGAAGAAAACCGGCAACAAGCGGCAGAAAATTATAATATTTTAGTGCAGTCTACTGGTCGCAACGACCAACGGACGGCCAGGACGTTAGTGTGCGCGGTATCATTTGATTTAATGGTTTTAGAGGTAGCAGCTAGTGATGGGAATAATCGAATTATTTTCACCATTGAATAATTAGTCATAATTCATATTTCACAATCGAATTAATTATTCGAATTATTTAGTAGAATTATAAATTTAACCTAAAAATAAATTCGTCCCAGCTATTGCTCGTCTAGGGGCTATTTTAAACAAATCTGAACAATTGAATAATTTATAGTTTTAAATTTAAAAGTGCCGAGTTTATGATTGTTATTGTTATGGCCTTTTATAAACATTTCAATTCCTATTGAAAACCGCTTCTTCTAAAACGATATAAGTATGTCCTTGTTTACGTGCGGTTCGTATTCCTTTTTATTTTACTAGTGGCAATCAATAATTATTTAGATAAAAGAAGAAAATTAATTTTAGTGTTCGGTGAAATTTGGGTGAGATGGAAATGAACCAAATAATAGTAGTATTCTTTCGTTCTGAACGAAATGAAAATTTTCACTTAAACTGATTTATTCCTACGTGGTATAGGAAATAACAATGATTTCTAGATTTTTCTATATCGGATCGTTCCTTTCTTTGTCGATTCCCTTTATAAATCAGTTTAAGTAAAAATTTTCAGTTGGTTCAGAACGAAAGAATACTACTAATTACTAATCTCTGTTACTAATATTCGTCCATAAGAGGTTATGTTTTATGTTCATTTGTAATTCGGTTACCACAGATATAATATAAAATACTACTAATTTTTATCTCGATTATATCGAAAAAGATAATCGAATTAGTTAGTTTTAATTTACTATCGAATTAGTCGAATAATTTAATTCGAATTTCCCCAACACTAGTAGCAGCGGCCTGGCCGGTGCGACCTGGTCGTCAGCGTGTTACAGCCAGCGTCGCGTCGGTCAAAGCCTACTTATTCAAAGTGGGCGAATTTTTAAAAACTCTATATCTCGAAAAGAAATCGAGCAAAATATGTAGTATGCTATATTTTTGGAAAGGTAATTTTAAATTCTTTTGAACTAATTAAAATTATACAGGGTGTTCCATATAAAAAATCAAATTTTTTGTTGACAATTCTTAAATTATTAATTTTAAAAAAATTATACTTAAACCATTAAATTCTACGTAAAAAGGTGCTTTGTAAATGTTTTCACAAAAATAGTGTGTGAGTCAATAAGTGGGCGTTCAATTTGGCCCACTCTGTACACGTATACCTTTATTTTTTTTACTCTATATAATTAAAAAAAATACATTACCCACAGTATTTAAGTGCGTTACATCCGTACTAATACACAGGAAACTTTGACCATAGTGTGTAGCTGTATGAGGGTAATGATAAGACCCAAAAGTAACTGGAAACATCGGAACAGAATGTATCAACCAGAACCCTTGGGTTTCATTTGCAATGACCACTCCCTTGGTATGGCCCATTCTCTCTGATTTACTTCCGTAAGGCGGTTGATCGTTGTAGAGAATGTACAAATAATCCTATTGAACCAAACCAAAAAATATGTGACAAACATTATATCTAAACGTGCTTCCTATCAAATGTCATGTTTTATTATTTTTACTTAAGTTTTATTAATTTCTATACACAAAAGCTACCATACAATAGAAAAAAGGTGTCAAAAGTGTAGTTATACCTTCGAATTACTGCTTGAAAATGGAGATAAAGTATTGGCAATTATAGAGTTCACTTGGTCAATACCAACGTCTGATAATATCCACTTTTCAGCATTATTAGATGTGATATAAGTATAAGCTACACCAGCTCTTACTAAGCTATTAGAATGTGCTGATTGTTTAGGTAGCTTATAAACAACAAACCTAGAATAAATAAATAGTATTACTAAAAACATAATATAAAACAAAATAGTCTAATTTTTAATAAATTTAAAATATAATGTAACTTTGAGATCATGTTCTAAAATATAGTATATTCACATTCAAGTTTACCAAATTAAACAAATTATACTTTACCAATCTACATCGTTATTTTCTTGATCCCTGCACTGAAGCCCATCGGAAATATTTAAAACACAATAAATTAGCATAAGCCACACTAAATAGCAACATTTGATGACAACCATTTTGTCTCAAAAACTAATTATGAATGGTTATTGTTATTAACAAAGTAAAGAATTCAAATTTGCTTTCTACCCACACAAATGATTATTTATCGGCGGTAGTATGATAATTCTCAGACTTCAGTTTGTTGATTTTAAATAGCATGATATACAGTGGTATCAGAAAGGGGACATTGTGGTAAAAAAATAGAAGAAATTATAGCTACAAATATAACTTGTAATATTCTAGAAGTGTAAATGAGATTATAATTTGATCTTCTTAAATATATTAATATTACAGTTCTTTTTTACAATGACAGTATCTTTGATTAAAGTGACCAGATAGTTTGTGTACAAGCGCTTCTTGTTGAAACCAAATCTAAATATTTTTTCATGGCAAATCTATACTAATATATAGAATCCTTAAGTGACTGAATCACTGATTAATCACGATCCTGCTCAAACCACTCAACGTAAGAAGCTCAATTTTGGCATACAGGTTGATTCTAGGATGTAGAGATACGATAAGAAGGGATTTTTCGAAATTCCGGTTCTAAGGGGGTGAGACCACCCCTCAAATATTACAATATTTTTTATTTAAAAAACGGTCAAGTTTCCGAAAAGACACGTAAACACGTATATTTTATTTTATTTTTTTACATATTTTAAGATTTTTAAAAGTGTATACAGGGTGTTTCGAAAAACCTGGTCATTGATTAATCACGATCCTGCTTAAAGCGCTTGAGGTAAAAAGCTGATTTTTGGAAAACGGATTGACTTTAGGGTGTAGAGGTTCGATAAGAAGGGATTTTTCGAAACTCGAATTCTAAGGGGATGAAACCACCCCTCAAATATTAGAATAGTTTTTATTTAAAAACCGGTGAGTTTTTCGGAAAAACTCTTAAAACACGTATATTTTATTTTGATATTTTACATATTTTAAGATTTTTAAAAAATGTATACAGGGTGTTTCATAAAATATGACCATTGAGTAATCACGATTCTGCCTAAACTGCTTGACGTTTAAAGCTGATGTTTGGCAAACGGATTGACTGTGGGGTGTAGAGGTTCGATAAGGAGGGGTTTCTCGAATCTCAAATTCCAAGAGGGTGAAAACGCCCCTCAAATATTACAATATTTGTTATTTAAAAAACGGTTAGTCTTTCGGGAAAACGTTTGGACACGCATAATTTATTTTGTTTTTTACATATTTTGAATTTTTTTAAAAAATCATACAGGGTGTTCCAAAAAGTTGGGTAATTGATTAACCACGATTCTGCTTAAACTGCTTGACGTAAAAAGCTTATTAGATATTTCGAAAGTCAAATTCCAACAAGATGAAACTACCCCTCAAATATTACCAAGTTATATAATAATATCGCCATATTGTTTTTTCTCATGCTGACATAAATGTGAGAAAATTTTATCCAGTTTGTATGTTAATAGAAAATCTTTCTTTGTTTTATCATCACCATTACAAATGATTAATTCGACGCGAACGAAGTCGCGGGTACACGCTAGTTAAGTATAAGCAGTTGATAAAAATAGAAAATGAAAAGTTTTGGTCAGAATTAATAGAAATATGTCGTTCCTATACATGGTTTGTGGGAGGTAAAAAGTGGCGAACAATACAAAATCAACTGGGGAACGATTTATTGTACGACAAACAACCCTATATGCAATTGAAGGGTCAGGGGAAAACTTGATAAACGCCAATTTCTTAATTTTAGGATTTTACAATATTATAGTATGTCTAACTGGTCCCTACAAAATGTAAAAACTATATGTACTCTATACCTGGTGCGTCTCAAAAGTGGCTAACCCCTATAACTTTTTTATTTTTTTAGATAAAAAAACGAGATTTGGTATATTAGTATATGATATATATAGGATTGATTGACGTCATTGACAGGGGCTGATACAGGAATTTATTTTAGGGGGGCAAATAAAAAGTAATGTAGAATATGCTTTTTGGAGCGCCATTTTTGACCAAAAAGCCTAATATTTAACCCAATTTATAGATTTTAGGGGGGGGGGGGTTGACCCCATGGGCCCCCTTTCTGTATCCGCCACTGGTCATTGACGTATTCAATTATTTTGGTCACTTCTTGTTTCACAGGAAATGACTACAACTTTTGATTTTCAAATGTATCAATTATCCTCAGTATTTTTTACTTTGTTCAATAGAAAATGTCACTCTGAATAGAATGACATATTACTTACTACTACATACAACTTTTAACATTTTTGCTTTAAACAAAATCGTATAATTTCAATCTAGAGTGCCATGGCGGTGTTAGAAACACTGAGTTTTAATCAAGGAGCCTAGGAAAAATAGATTTGAGTGTTTAATGTTTTTAGTGTCCTGTCCTGGCCGGTTAAAAGATGCCCAAATCATTTTTTACGAATAATTTGGAACCACACACTTGGTACTCCGAGTCAAATTGTCGGTATGAACCGCATGTTACAATTTCACATAAACCATATGAGAAAATGTCAAAAGTTGGCATATGATATGTCACTCAATTCAGAGTGTCATTTTCTATCAAATTAAGTAAAAAAATACCGAGGGTACCATTTAAAAATCAAAAGTTGCTGTCATTTCCGGTGAAACAGGAAGTGACCAAAAACAATTGAATACGTCAATCAATCCTAATTTATGTCATATACTAACATACCAAATCTCATTTTTTTATCTGAAAAAATAAAAAAGTTATAAGGGTGAGCCACTTTTGAGATGCACCCGGTATATGATATACATATGTATATAGAATACTCGGAAAGAATATGATAACCGTAAGCTGTCCAGTGCGTGTAAAATTAGTAAAACGGCGCTTATCATGTTTTCCCCTGGACCCTTCAATTTCTTTAGCTATTTTAAAGATTATTGTGGATTTTTAGGATGATGAAATAAAACCACAGATCTTTCTTATTGCTTAAATTTAATAAGGACCATAGAGTACTCAACATTAATTTTAGAAATATGTTATATCATAAAACTTATACTTATAGGATGGAATTTATCTTAAATATATTTACAAAAAAACATGACCATCAGTAGCTCTTTCAAGAAAAAATAATTTAATAAAGTTAAACATTATAACAATTTTTTTAAACATTTAGACATAATGGCTTAGTAAATAAAAAGAAGTAATATTAGTAATTGTATGGGCGATATGTTTAACAACCAAAAGGACACTAGGATCGAAAAAAAGACGTCAAGTTACCTTGGAAATGACAAATTGTTGTCTAAGCTAACTCTGACGCTCTTTTTTTCGACCATATGGTATTATAGTTTAAAAGTACAGTCATGACTAGTAATAATAACGTTCAGTGAACAAAAATGCATCACAAACACTTTAAAAAATTAATAAGAATGTTACTTTATCTATCAGTTCTTTTCTTGTCCAAACAATATTTGTTGATTTTTTAACTTGTTAACTTGATGTGGTATGTGATATAACTAACCATGAAATTATGAAATAAAATAGTCCAATAGGATAAACTGCTAAAAGTTTTCGACCAGGTTTTTGACTATCACCCAAGAAAATCATAGATGCTGTAAAAAATTGATTATTAACTTACAAGATTGACTTATAACCCTCGCCAACGTGAACATAGGAAATCCCATGTAAATTTTAAAAATAAATATAAGTTCCTCATTGAATTTTAGAGAAAAAGTTATTTGAAACTTTTTAAACAACTCCACTTAAATACAAATCCACCACTAAGATAGGAAATCCCACACTAATTTGTGTGGGATTTCCTATGTTCAGATCAGTGTTTATTTATTATAACTATTTATAATTTTGAATATAAATTAATTTTAAATAAGTACTTATATTTATCAAACTTACCATATGTAGCCCATGCAAAGCCTGCCATCGATACACCAAATCTTATGAAAAACATTAAATAAGTTTGCTTCACTAATAAAATAATTCTACACGCTATTAATGCAATCGTCGTTGGTAGAAGACAGTAACCCAAAACACAGACACTTTGAAAAAACGATCTAAAATATAAAATGGAGAATATTATATACTGTCAATACATAATTTCTATGAATCTTACATATTTCCACCCAACAATTTTGAATTTAAAGTAACTATCATTGATCCTATCCAAACAATAACAAAAACTTCCGCAAATTCAGGTCCACCTTCGCTAGTGTGATCTGACAAACTAGATCCTTGCAAAACCCTTAAAAAATATCATACAATAAGGCTGATAAAATTTATACATGTAAAGTACTTACATTGCCATAAAGGTACAAAGCATTAATGGTCCCCATAAGTCCCCTAAAACAAGAAAATACTAAGCAAATGCAAAGCAATTAATGGTAAGTACTTACATTCTTTTAATAAAGTCTTCTTCTCCTTAGGAAACAAAACATGTCCAAACTTTATACCTACGGCTTTAACATCTCTCATCTACAAAATCATACATGCTTCGTATATTTATTATACATCATTCAAGGAGCACTAAACTTACAATTGTATCCTTTATGGGTTCATCAAGGGTATTAAAATCTGGTTGTCCTAAATATTGTGCGTTCTTGTTTGTAGGAATATTCATTTCGCCTTCTACATGTCCTCCCACATCATCATACATCTAAAAAATAATGGATTAAAGGAATGTTTATTGTGGATATGTATAAGCAAACCACCTCAAGTCTAGTGTGATCCATTTTTTCGTTGGATTTTGTGAAATCTTAGAGGTTTATGACCATAAATTCAAGCTAAATATATTTTCTTTCAGAAAAACATCGATGTGTACAAAATTCCTCTAATTTTTGACGTCGCTCTATTTACACTGACGTCACCTGTCAAAATTTGTAGGATGTGCGTTGGTAAACAAAATCTCTGCATTATCGTCTAAATATCATGTCAAAACAGTTTTATATTATACCTTTTCGAAGAGCTAGATAAAATATATTTGCAAGTAATTGTTTCTGAATAATTAATTAGGAGGTTATTTATAAACAAACGAGTATATTTATTTGTAAAATAGGACCTATTTTGTAGAAAAAATACGATCGACTTTGATGAGGCATCGAAGAACCGTACATTTTAATGTATGATTTAGGTAACAGATGTCACCACATAGTTTACAGCGTTCTATTATTGATTTGATGTGTAAATTGTGGATGTCGCGACAAGTCATTGTTTGGATTTTAGCGCAATTGCATAGAAAGTTTGAAAAATAATTTCTATTGCAACAAATAAATTAGTGAATGAGTTTTGTGCGTTATTTTTAGAGCATGATATTACACGAAAAAGCTCACATTTTCACGGAGAATACACAGAAACAATGGAGGAAAAGTATATATTTGTTAAATTCTACTGTCCTTAGATAATATTAATATATTTTATTGTTTTTGAGTCATTACATTGTTTAGACAGAAGTTATAAAAATGCCGCCAACTTTTTTTTCTGTTTCACATTTTGTCAGTTGTTGGAAAATAATGTATCCAGCGTTTAAGTTAGGTTTTTTAATTGTTTTGGTTATATCAGAGAGCGTTTTTTCGGCTGATCAAAATGAAACTGTACAAGACGAAGGCGATCATGATTTTGTTGGTGGTGGTACTGTTGGCTCCGGAAATAGCACTGCAAATGTTTCAATATCTGATAGAAATTTAGATCAGAAGCAACTAGAATTAAAAAGCGATGTATATTACCCAACGGATGGATCAGAAAATCAAGGTAATAATTAAATAAATTAACGATTATCATTATACAGGGTGACCCAGGGCTCCCAAAATCTTCTTGACAGGTTTTCTATTTTTTATTCTGCATCTAAAAGAAAAACAATATATATCCAGGGTCCAATAAGATATTTAAAATAGAAAATAGACAAAAAATATTTCTTAAGGTTTTTACAATGTTGATCTTATATTTTGGACATCCTGTACGATTTAAGATTACGATATTTATAATAAAGTAGGTTCAGATCTTCTGTAATAGACAGCGAGCGTAGTTTTGATCTAAGAACCGTCAATTTTTATTTTTTACACTTTTTTAATAAATGCTGCAAAAATATACCGTATGAGCGAAAAAAAAAACGGCGTCATCGATCGTCATTTCATGGCCATCGCTGACGCCGTTTTTATTCGATCATACGGTATATTTTCTTTTCTTAATTTATTTCTCTGGAACTAATCAATACAAATTTAATGACAATCTAGAATTACGTAAATTTGTCAGGAAGGGACCCACAAACTCAATAATATACAGCGTGTTCCATTTAAAAAAAATACCCTATAATAAAGTCTTCTCTATATATAACTATATTTAGGAAGTTAAGAACCGAAAGTTCTAAACTCTCTGAATTACTTCTGTACAGGGTGTTTTTTTTTAAATGGGGCATCCTGTATATTATTTTATTTTATTTGCCTTGTTAAGAGCTTTCTAAAAGCACTTATTAATTCAAATAATGTCTACACCTTTGTTGCGGGTTAATTTCTTTTATTTTCAGAAAATTTACTTAATTGTTGTTTTTTTATTTTTAATTTCTACAGTATGTTCCCAGATTGTCTTTACAAGAGGAAATTTTTTTATTATTCTTCATAAAAAAATTTTGTTTGTTCTAAAAATGGTCAATCCCGCTTTTACTTTTCTAAATTTCTATACCGTTATGCCAATAACGATGAACTTAAACAGCCGTTAAACGGTAGCCTACTAAGATGCCGTTAATAGATATTATGACGTTGTTGATTTCGGCGGAAAGTAATGCCTAGCTATAGGCATTTTGCAAGAGCTCCTGTGGCCCCGTGGCTGAGGCTATTGCTTCGTGATCGAAAGGTCCTTGGTTCAAATCTCACGCCGAACCAAAACTTTTTTATATTTTTTTTGCTTATAGCGTGATCTTATTGCATTGGTTTCACTCTTTTTGGTCGGATTGGTTTAGTTATTTGGCGGGTTGGTTAGCGTGGTTATTTGGAGGGTGTTAATTCATTGGTTAGTTGGTTATTTGGTGTGGTTGGTTGGTTTTTACTAATTTATATTTGTTTTTATATTTTTTTACAAGTGTCATGGTTAGTTGCGTTGATTAAGTTGGTTATTTGGTGGGGTGAATAGCGTTGGTTAGTCCTTATAAAATTCCTATATTTCATAAAACCGTCAAGTGTGTCTCATCAACGACGTCATACCTATTAACGGCATTTTAGTAAGCTACCGTTTAGCGGCAGTTTAAGTACAGCCTAAAAATAATACCGTTATAAAAATTTAAAAAAAAAACCATGAAAATATGGTTGAATTTGTTCATATTTTTTCCTAAAGCTTCATTCAGAACCTCGCAATTAGTGGAGTAAATTAGTGGTTTCAATAACACTTTATACTTTTTAGTTTACGATTATTCACAGTGTTTAAAAAACACAATTAAAATTAAAAGAATATCCTAGCAACAGCTTGCTAGGTCAGTTGTATCCATAGAGAAAGCCTAATATTTAGCTTATAAAACAATAAACTTTTGATTTCTAACTACAATTTCTCTTGACGGAAGATAATCAAAAACCAAAATGGCATTTCTCGCAAATTTTGAAGCATAATTAGTGGAAAAGTTAAAAGTTTGATAATTTTTTCTACTAATTGAAAATGTCTACCACTCTATTTTGACGTTCTGAATGCTTACGTTGAAATTAGAGGAACAAAAACTTCTACGCTAATTAAAACCACTAATTTATTTCACTAATTACGAGGTTCCGAATGAAGTTTTTGTCCTAAAAATCAAAAGGCGTTTCTAAGGTATATAATATAATTTTGATTCCATTCTTTGATAGATGGTTATTATTAATTTTGATTAACGTCATATTTTTGGTGTTGTTAAAGTATCACATTTTCCGACAATTATTATCACCCTTTCTATAATACTGAACTAATTAAATGTTGTGCTTCTTTAACATCTTAAAACAGCAAAAAAATGACGTTAATTAAAATTTTATGAATAACAATCCATATTCGGTGGATGAAAACGAAATTATATTACAATAGAAACGCCTTTTAATTTTTAGGACTTTAAGAAAATACTCAACTATATTTTCATGTTTTTTTTTAATATTCTTTAAAGCGGTGTGGAAAGTTGTAAAAGTATAACTATTTTAGGACAAGGATTTTTTTTGAAGAGATGATTCTTTTTTTATTAACATTTTTCTCAAAATGTCAATAATAAAAATGTTTTTCCTCTTGTAAAGACAAACCGGGGACATACTCTATATTTATTTTCATAAATAATGAAAAAATGCATTATTTAACTTTTTTAACATAAATCAACCTAAAACACACAAACCGCAAAAATCTAGGGATATCATTTTATTAAAGTTAAAACTAAATGTTTTGAATAAACAACCACATATTTGTAAGCCGATTCTTTCTACTTCGATTGAAACGAAGTAGTCACACTAGTTATTTCTAAATTTGGGATATTTGCAGAAGTGTTTGTGCATTTTTTGTCAAATGTATAAAAAGCACCTAGCATCAATTGTTCGAATTTAACCTGTACTGGCTATGTTTTATGATAACTGGCCAGAATTCATTTAAATAACTCTGATTAGTATTAAACGACATTATGGAGCTTAGATATCTTAACAGAGACGAAATGCTAAGGGCCATGGGTATGCTCGAAGATGGAATGCGCCAAATCGAAAACGCGCAAAGTGTAATATCGCGATTAAGTGCACGCTACCGTGAAAGTGGTGATGTTGCTGAAAGGCACACAGAGCGACATCGCATTACTACCCCTCAGCAAGATCATTTTTTACAATTAAATGCTCGATGCCGACCGACTCTTACAGCACCAGAGCTTAGTTTAATTCTCCAGGAAACACATAATATAACCGTTAGTCCTGACACTGTTCGCAATAGATTAAGAGAGGTCAACTTAAGAAGCAGACGCCCCTGGAGAGCTCAACCCTTAACGAGAGGAAATCGAGAGGTACGATATTTGTGGGCTCAAGATCATGTTCAGTGGTCGAATGAACAATGGGCCAATGTTCTCTTCACGGACGAGTCACGCTTTAGAATTCATCTGGATTCGAGAAGGCTTAGGGTATGGAGAGAACCGGGAAATCTTATTCGGTTGGATCATGTTCAGGAAGTGCACCCTTATCAAGGTGGAACAGTTATGGTCTGGGGAGGAATCCAGTTAGGCCGAAAAACCGATTTCGTTTTTCTTGAAAGGTTTCTAACAGAAATCACATATCGTGATTTAATTCTTGAGCCTGTCGTGTTACCATATGCCAATGATTTTGGGAGAAACTTCATTCTCATGCATGAGAATGCACGGCCTCATACAGCCAGAGTGGTAAGTGAGTTTATCAATGCTCATCAATTAAACATCTTACCCTGGCCGGCACAATCTCCTGACCTCAACCCCATCGAGCACGTATGGGACGCGGTACAAAGAAGAATTTTGAGAATGGGTATGCCTTGTGAAACTCGTAGGGATCTGGTTCGGGCCGTGAATGCAGCGTGGCAGGCTGTACCTCAAGAAGAGATCGACAACCTGATCAGGAGCATGGAGAGACGATGTAATGAACAGTAGAGGAGGCCATAACCTTTATTAAGTAAAAATGTGTGTATTTTTTTGAGTTCAATAAAAATCAAGGTAAATTTGAAAAATTCGGTAAATTTCGCATTTTTATTTCCAATACGTCCTGTAAACTATTTGTTTATTTTAATTTTATTATATCAGAAATGCAAATAATAAAATTACTGACGATGGCTGGATAAAATTGTAATATCCCTAGACTTTTCCGGTGTGTTTAGTTTAAAAGAGTATTATTTTATTTATATAGTGTATATATCTTAATAAACTGCACTCAAAATAAACTTTTGCAGCTTTTAGATAACACGCTGTCAATCAGAGTTATTGCTATTTTTTCATGCACTTGCAATAACTGCATACACAGAAAACTAGCGTGGAATAGCCAAAAACTAAAATTTAATGTCGAATAAATTATTTATTCGATTGTTTTGATTACTCTCTTATTTTTTACATTATTTATGATAATAATGATCTTCTTGATGAGATAAACTCAATTTTATTTAATCACAATTAATAAAATTAAAATAAAATTAATAAATTATATTATATATTTACCTAATTTATTATTAAATATTATTACTTTTAGTTATTATTACTATTAGTCCAACCTACAGCAGTTTCAGATAAAAAATAATGGTAGGTATTAAAGATAATTATTGGAAAAAAACTAATTTTAAAAAGTTTTAACATCCTGTAACTCTAAAACTATGCATTTCCATACCCATTTTTATAGGAACTTTTTTTTCATATTTTTTGATAAGGAATCAATTTGTACTTATTTAAAACTTTCGCAAGTTAATGATATTAATTTTTATTAAAGCTTGCTATAAGACTTAAATTGGATAAAGGCAAATTAATAAAATTGCGTTTATCTCATCAAGGAGGCCGAAATCTGCTAAATATCAAGAGATAACTTTTAATCAGCATTAAAGTGCTTACACTATTTTGCTAACAAAAGAAAAAAAGTCAGTGGCGTACATGCTTTTTTTAGAAAAAATATTCCAGTGATAACCCATCTGCACGTCCCTGGTGAATCCCATGTCGACACTTTTTTAGCTTTAAAATATGTCGCATTTATAGTAACTTCTATCCTCAAAATTTCATTCGAATAAGTAAGACTTTAACACCCTGTAGCTATACGAAAGTTGGTATGAAAAATAAATTAATTTTTACGTGAGGAATATCGCCACGAGAGATGGCACATGTTTTTTGAAACACCCTGTATATTGCAGTGGTTTTCCTTCAATTTCAGAACTAAAAAACGTCGTAGAATTCAACGTTCCCAAAAATTCCACTCCAACTCCCAAAAAACTGGACAATTTTCGTCCAAGTCCACAACTGGAAAGTTACTACGAATTCAACAGAGTTCCAGTGGTTCCCGCTTATCCAGAACCAAAGTCGGTGAGCAGCAGTATAATCGTTGGCGAGGGAAATTCTAAGGAGAACTTGAGGATTCTGGAAACCAAACATCGGTTTGGGAAAGGACAGGTTGTACCTCTGGATAAGGACAAGGAAAGAGCTGTGGAAAGTGGTGGGTTTGAGCCTGGACTATCCATTGCACGTGGAAGTAGGAACGGTAATGGAGAGTTTCCTAATGTTGTTGAAAGTAGTAGCTGTAATCCTTGTAAAGTTAGGGAGGGTCCAGGATTTGCAGATTATAACAGGTAATCAAATCGTTTATAAAAAATCTCTCTTTTTTTAAATTTTTGAAAGTAACACGGTTATTTTGGACTTATTTGAAAAACGGTAAAGAGAAAATATGTTTCTTTTATCAAGATCTACTAGCCGCAAAATATTTGCACTTATTTAAGACTCACCCTGTATATTGCAACATACAGCATATTCTGCAAATAAAAATAAGTAAAAAATTTCGTATAAATGCATGTCCTAAAATGCTTGGTTTCGGAGATACAAGTTTCATTTTTATTTCGATGTTTTCCAAACAATTTCTGAAGTAACGTCAATGTTTGGATGAAAATTGGTGTCTGGGAGTTTTTTGACATGAGAAATTTGATTTTGATGTTAATATGCCGCCTATCTGTAGGGGGCGCCACCTACATGTGTTTTAACTGTTTTGTAGAATTAATAACTTTTCGTCCGTACCTGTATAAAACTACCGAGTGAAAAAATATACATTTTCGTGATTTTTTGCGTAAAAAATATCTCTTGGTAAAAATCGCTAAGAGCAACCGTTCTCAAGAAATTTTGAATGGAAATAGTCAATACATGTCATTATTGACTAAAAATAAACATGTTGAGTAGATAGTTAAGCGGGGTATCCACATGCAAGGATTACTGGCGCCATTCAACTGGCGCCAGTTTTATTGTATGTGGAAACCTGTAAAATCGACTGTTCATCGACTAATTCATATGCGAGTAAAGTTCAACGCTCCTGTACTTTTTGGCGCCAGTTTTGTGTGTAAACAATACGAGTATCTCCACTCGTAAAAATGTCGTTTGTTTCAAAAAAGTGGTCTACTGAATTAATAATAAACTTTTTGGAATCCTACGAACAACATCCTTGCTTACGGAAGAATTGTTGGTTGCGGGTCATGTCTGATTCTCTCAGCAACTTTGATGTAAATTCCGCAAACGCCAAAATTCGAAGTATTATGAATGCTTACACCCTAGAGCATAACAAGGTGTTAAAATCTCATAAAACTGACCGTAACGACATGCCAGTTTTAAATTTACTATAGACCTGTGGAAACGGGTAATGGCGCCATTTAATTGTGGCGTCAATAAACTGGCGCCAGTAATCCTTGCATGTGGAAACCCCGCTTTATTTTAGAGACATAATAAATTTGGGAAATTTTTAGTTGTTTAAATTAATCATAATTTTTTCTTCGAAAAAATGACGATAAAACAGTTTCTGTTGAACTTTTGACACAAAAATATTTCAAATTTATGATTTCAGTCTAGATGTTTAATTATGTCAATGATGACAGGTATTGATATTTTCTATTCCAAATATTTGGAGAACCATTATTCGAAGCGATTTTTACCAAGAGATCTTTTTTACGTAAAAAACGTCGTAAATGTATATTTTTTACTCGGTAATATTATACAGGTACGGACGAAGTTATTACTCTTCAAACCAGTTAAAAAATATGGGGGCCCTCTACAAGTAATAGTCATACGACATATCAAAATCAAATTTATCATATCAAAAAACTCCGAGACACCAATTTTCATTCAAATATTAACGCTACTTTAGAAATTCTTTAAAAAAAATCTAAATAAAAATGAAACTTCTACACCCTGTATCTCCGAAACTAAGCATTTTAGGACATATATTTATACGAACTTTTTTACTTATTTTTATCTACAGAATACGCTGCGTTGCCAAAGTTTCCGGAATACAGTTCGGACCACCCTGTATAATAGATTCTAATTTTGAATGCAATTTGCTACACAAAATAAAACAAATTTGCGTCAAAAGCAAAATAAATAAACTATGTAAGTTACATAATCGACCATTTAGTTGTTAAGATCTTTATCCAAAAGGAAATGAAGATAATTATAAATGGGAAATTAGTACACCATCACTTTCTGATGTAATTATAGACATCTGTATTTAGAGCAAAATTCATAGGATTAATATACAGTATGTCCCCGGATTGTCACTACATTATTTGATTGTTACCACTCGGAAATCTCTTATTAACATTTTAAGAAAAATGCATTCTGCATAACAATTTTTGAATCTTCCTAAAATGGTCAATCTCATTCATACTTTCCCAAATTTCCATACCGTTTTAGAAAAAAATAACAAAAAATAATGAGGTTTTTTTTTTAAATTTAATATCTTGTGGGGAGAATCCTCGAGTAAAAATAAGATTAACTAATAGATTACTAATGATTAAAACGATGTCAATATGACTCCTACTTGTAGGGGGACCACCTACATCTCTTAACTGTTTTGAATTTTTGAAAATCTACTCTAATATCTAGTATGTACTGAACATGCATATTTAATTTTTGTAACCGATGGGCATGGATTGATTATTAAGAATCCAAATATCCTGAGAACAATTGCTCGCAGCGAGTTTTACCAAGAGACATTTTTTAAGTAAAATAGACGTAAATGTACATTTTTTAACTCAGTAATATAATACAGGGACAGACGTAAAGTTATTACTCTTCAAAACAGTTAAAAAAGATGTAGGTGGTGCCCCCTACAACTAGGAATCATATTGATATTGAAATCAAATTTTTCATGTTAAAAACCCCCAGATACAAATTTTCATCCAAATACAAAATTTAGTTTTAGAAATTATTAGGAACTAATCGAAATAAAAATGAAATTCCTACACCCTGTATCTCCGAAAGGAAGCATTTTAGGACATAACTTTATAGAAATGTTTTACTTATTTTAATCTGCAAAATATGCTGCCGAAGTTTCCGGAATACAGTTCGGACCACCCTGTATTTCTAAAACACGCCATTTTTGAACATAATGTTTATATGAACTATTCCTCTTGAAGTTATTTGAAGAACTTCATGTACAGGGTCCTTTCATGTACAGGGTGGCCGAAATTGGTCTGTTTTAACAGAGAAACCCTCTTTCCTGACTAGATAGAGCAAAACCAACATAGATGTCATGGGCTCGATTTCTGAGACATGTTTAATGGCGTAAACCGCCTGTTGATATTTTCACTGCCGACTGAGACACGGGGTCTTTTTGAATTTTTTACCATTTTGAAAATTGCCCATAACTCTTTTATTTTGCGGAATAATAAAATTCTGTAAAAACGTTCTTAAGGCACATTTTTAAGCACAATCCAGTAGGGTAGTCAGTTTTTTTCTATGCTTGCTCTTTTTGTCAGAAAAAATAAAAAATATAATTTTTTAATTGGAAATCATAGTTTGCTATGAATTTTAAAAAAAACTGGCGTTTAACCCTTCCAACCGGTATAAAGTTATGGGTCTCTATTTCTAAGAATGAGAGAAATATTTGTTTTTTTATCTTTATATCGAAGCGGGCCTTGATTTTATGTTGACCTATTTGCCTAATAATTATTTTTTATCGCAATTTAATATTCTACATTATTATTTATCTGCATAACTAAAGACTTGTGAAAAGGTAAATTAACATTCTATATTAGTATTAGTCATTACAATTGAAATCGATAAAATAAACAAAGAAAAAAACTAAAAAACGTATTTTTTGAGTGACGAATATAGTTTTCTAAAAAAATCATCAAAGATGTTCAAACTTGAGCACCTCCTTGTTGAATACACAATAAACATATTTTGCGCACAGTGTTACAACAATTTACTAGACGAACTGGTGTAATAAGTCCAAAAGTTTGCCTAGCAGCCTTCTGCAATTCTTCTCTCGTCCCACTGGCTCTTCCCTTATATATAAGGTTTTTTAATTGTCCCTATAAAAAAAATCGAAAGGAGTTAAATCACAGGACCAAGATATGAGGCCCCTTGTTCCAATCCAGTTCTCTCTAAATTTCTCATTTAAAGAAATCAGTTGTTATAATCCTGGCCTTTTAATTGTAAATGGTAATACTAATGTAGAATGTTGATTTACCTTTTCAGAAGTCTTTAATTATGCAGGTAAATAATAATATAAAATATTAAATTGTGATAAAAAATAATTAGGCAACTAAGTCAAGACAAAAAGTCCTCCTACACTGGGTGCCTGCTCACCAAGGGATAGAAGGCAATGAAAAAGCAAATAATCTAGCTAGGAAAGGAGCGAACACTCCACTAACTGGACCAGAACCGTTCTGCTTTCTAAGTGGTAACCAACTCAAGGCGGAACTCAAGAACTTGGAAGATTCCATCCGCAACCTGGAATGGAAATCTTGCAATGGTCTAAGACACTCGAAGAAGTTTCTGAGGGCTTATGATCAAGAAAAATCACAGATCTTCTGGGTCGAGTAAGAACAATCTTCGGATTGTCACGGGGTTTTTAACAGGACACTGTCTCATCAATGAACACCTCAGTAGATTGAAACTAAGAAGAAACGGCGAATGCAGATTCTGTGGGGAAGATGGTGAAACACCAGTACACCTCATCACTGAGTGCGCCGAGACGACAACCATTCGTGCCATGAATTTTGGTACGACTGATATTGGAGATGGAGAACTACCCTCTATAAAACCGTCCCAGATACTGGCTTTTGTCAAAGCCCTGGGACTGTATGATGAGTTATGATTCAAGAAAGGGGGACACAATGGATCTGTAAGGTCGAAGTGATTAACCCCCCTCCCACTCATTCTAAATTCTAAAAATTCTAAAGTCAACACAAAATCAATGCCCGCTTCGATACAAACATAAAAAACCTAATTTTTTTCTCATTCATAAAAATAAATACACATAACTCTATATCGTTGGAAAGGTTTAAACACCAGCATTTTTTTTAAATTCATAGCCAACTATGATTTCCATTTAAAAATTATATTTTTTATTACTTCTGACAAAAAGAGCAAGTATAGTAAAAAACAGGCTAGGCCACTGGATTGTGCTTAAAAAGTGCCTTAAGAACGTTTTTACAGAATTTTATTATTCCGCGAAATATAAAAGTTATCGGCAATTTTCCAAATGGTAAAAAATTTAAAAAGACCTTTGCAATAAAAATATCAACATTGCAATGAAAATATCAACAGTTTCCGCCATTAAGCGTGTCTCAGAAATCGAGCCCATGATATCTATGTCGGTTTTGCTCTATCTAGTCAGGAAATAGGTTTTCTCTGTCAAAACAGACCAATTTCGACCACCCTGTACATCCTGTATATTAAAAAAAAACTTTCTTCCAGAGAAACACCTTGGGTGAGCAAAATCCGCTTTCCAGCAACAGGAACAGCCAATGACGAGGCAGACAGACCATCCTACGTATCCCACACGAATCAAAATGCAAATTCCAATATTCACCCCGGTAACTCAGCTCAGGGCGCTGTTCAATATTCATATCCAAATGAAAATATCAAGCCTAATAGCCAATACTTACCCCCTTCCGGCACTGGTGTTAAACTGAACGATTATTTGGCCCATCATCAAGGTAATACCGCTCATGGGATACAAACGAACAATATAGAATCACCGAGGCATAATTATGGAGAGGATAGTGTGAGAAAGCCTTATTATATTTCGGGTTACCCTGTTAGTAACCCTGGGACTGGGCAAGGGAGGTTTTCTTCTCAGGGTGTAGGTCATACGACTGGTCCTAATAGGGAATTTAACTTCAATCAGTTAGTAGAGGTAAGAAGCACTAATATACACTATCGGACAAAAGTAGAGGAACAAAGTTCATTTTTATTCATATTTAAATAAAAAAATTATTAGGTTGTTATTTTCGGCTATGTTTACTAACACACTATCCTTACACTATTACTATAGTACTATTTTATTACTAGTACTATAGTACTAGTACGATTTTGGTGTACTTTTAATCAGTTTAAAAATGGTAAATAATAATGATTATAAAAATTGATGAAAATGGGGGCGACAAAAGTAGAGCAACAAAAACAGATTTTATTGTGTCTTATTTCAACAAAAAATATTTAACACATTTAAGAACAATAATAATTGAAAGTAATACATTAGTAATTGATAGAATATCCATTATTATTAATAACTTGCTGACAACGGCGAGGCATTGAAGCAGTCAACTTCTGAATGACATTTTCGGGAAGATTTGTCCAAACTTCATTAATTTTATCTATCAAGGATTGTTTATTTGGAAACATTTGGGTACGAATACGACGTTCTACTTCTTCCCAGAGATTTTCAATCGGGTTAGGGCCTGGGGATTGCGCTGGCCATTGCAAAACTCGAACGTCATTTTCCCTAAACCACTGTTTAACAACTTGTGAAGAGTGTTTTGGATCGTTGTCCTGTTGGAAAATACAACGCAGTGGCATTTCCCATTCTGCATAAGGAAGCATAAGATTCTGTATATCCCAATAAACAAATCGGTCCATCGTGTCATTAATAAAGTGTATAAGGCCTATCCCATTCCATGAGAAACAACCCCATAAAAATACACTGCCTTTACCGTGTTTAATTGTAGGTGTTACGTATTTAGGATTAAACCTTGTATTGATTGGTCGCCTCACACGTCTCATTCCATCAGAATTGAATATGTTGTAGTGCGTTTCATCACTGACAGAACTTTTTTCCAGTCATTGACGGTCCAGTTTAAATGCCGACGTTCGAATGCCAACCTTGTTGCTCTATTTCTTTCCGAAACTAACGGCTTTTTAGCTGGACGTCTACTAAATAACTTTGCATCTACTAATCTTCTTTGTACTGTTCGTATACCAATCGTAATTTCTGGAATTTCAGCAATAATTCTAGGTGCGGACTTCAAAGCATCATTTTGAGCAATTATTTTGATGCGTCTGTCGGTCATTACTGTTGTTTTCTTTGGTCTTTCCGATTTTGGCTACTTTTCTAAGTGTCCCCTGTCATTATACGATGAAATTATTTTAGATACACTGTACCGGGGTAACACAAACTGTCTTGAAATATTGGCTTGTTTGTTACCTTCCGTGAATGCATTCACAACTCTTTGCTTCAAGTCTTTTGAAATTGGAATTCCTCTTGGCATGACTAATCCAGCATAGAAATGTTAAAAATAACATAAAATAAACCTCGCACAATTATTTGGGCCTTTACTTTTGCTAAAACCCTTCTTTGGAATGAATTATTTGAATATTGCTCTACTTTTGACGCGTTACTATTAAGCATTTAAAACCAAATGTCAAAATAAATTAATTTGTTTTGTTATTAAAAATTCTTGCTGTCATGGATACTCATAGCCTACTTCGTAGTTTTTAAATTTATTGTATTTGTATACATCATCATGCATGTATAATTAAAAAATCGCGATTTGCAAATATTTCTCGAAGTGTTGCTCTACTTTTGTCAGATAGAGGTATCCTTTAGTATAGTTTTTCCGTTTTTTTTTATAAATATTCCAGTGATAACCCATATACACGTCCCTGGTGAAAATGTCGACATTTTTTTAGCATTAAAATATGTTACACATAGAGTAACTTTTACCCTCAAAATTTCATTCGAATCGCTTAAAGCACTTGGAAGAAAATTATTATAAATCGAAAAAAGATTCCCTGTATCTACAGGACGTTTCAAAAAATATGTGCCACCTCTCGTGGGGAGTTTCCTCAGGCAAAAATAATATTTATTTTTCATATCAACATAAGTCCGATTCTGCTTTGTTTCGTAGCTACAGGCTACAGGGTGTTAAAATCTAAATAATCTTTCCATTTGTAATAATTTTCTTTCAAGTACTTTTAGTCGTCGAATAAAATTTCGAGGGTAAAAGTTACTATAATATTTTAATGCCAAAAAAGTGTCGATAAATTCATCAGGGACGTGCATATATCACTGGAATATTTTTCAAAAAAGAATATGTGCGCCACTGGCCTTTTTCCTTTGATTTCAAAATTGTGTAGGTCGTTTAATGCCAATTAAAAGTTATCTCTTGATATTTTCTTTGTTGAATTCGGTCTCCTTGATGAGATAAACGCAATTTTATTAATCACAAGTAATAAAATTAAAATAAAATTAATAAATTATATATTTCAACGTAGAGCAATTTCAAATAAAAAGTAATGGTATTTAAAATAATTACAAAAAACCCAATTTTAAAAAATGTATCATCTTGTAACTCTAAAACTATGCATTTCCATACCAATGTCATAGGACCTTTTTCCATATTTTTTGATGAGGAATCATTGAGTACTTATTTAAAACTTTCGCAAGTTAATGATATTATTTTTTTTAAATGTTGCTATTAGACTTGGATCAAGGCAAATTAATAAAAAGGCGTTTATCTCATCAAGGCGAAATTAATCTTATTTTTACACGAGAGATGGCACATGTTTTTTGAAACACAATGTATAATGTCTAGTATGTTACTGATTTACAGTGGACAAATACTTAATTTAAAATATTTTAATGTGGATTAATGTAAAAAGCTGCCTTAAAGATTGAAGAGTTAATTTTAGTATTAGCTATTATTAATTTTAGTAAGTAACTCAGGCTTAATAAAAACTAATTAAAATAAAATAACGATTCATAAACTGTTCTTTTTAGGTTCCAAATCGATATCCTTCTGGTTCAGCCAAAACATATCCCCACCAAAAGACTTTCGACACTTTCTACAACATAATGGAAAGACCATCTCCAGAACATGACTATAAAACTTACCATGAAGAACCTCACCATGAAATCTCGTACAATCCATGGAAGAAAGTTTTGAAACTTTTAGCAACCTTCGTTCCTATAGGCTTACTCGTGAGTGCTTTGACACCTAGCATCATTACTGTCACTAATGTCAACGAAACGGATTCTACAAACACGTAAGTACAATATCCTTTATTGTTTTTTAGTATGGTTACCCATGGGCGCCAGAAGAATGAAATTTTGGGGGGGGGGCAAGGTAAAAATGAATAAAAAATTGAAACACATTTTTGGTAATTATTGGGAAAACTGGAAATCGTCTGATTTTCACCAAAATTGGTATACACCCTATTTTGAAGTCGTAGACTACGAATCTGAACTTTTTCCTTTCGGCGTCTCTCAGAAAAACGGAAAATAATTCAATATCGAATTTTTCTTAATTTCTCATATTTTTAAGGTTTTCTAGCACATATTTTGTTAGGTATTCAATAATCAATGCTGTTTTTGCTATTTTCTGTTGCTAGGAAAATTTGCTAAAATAAATTTGTAAACAATCTGAAAATGTTAGGTTATAGCTTTGTTCGGGTTCTTGTTATTACCAATTCTGAACCGTCCTAGAACTCTGCAGCGTATGCGCAAATGAAATAATGTCTTCATATTTCCTTCTGCGCATACGCATCACAGTTCTAGGACGGTTCAGAATCGGTAATAATAGAAACCCGAAGTAAGCTTATGTGTTTCTGGCATTTAAAGCAATGTTGCTAAACCTAAATTTAGCGTGTTTTTTTTTGCTCATTCTGGAATTACGAAAGGGGGTCGCCAGAAGAACGGCTCCTTCCCATAAACGCTATTTTACCAACGAGATCTGACTATTTATACCCACGAAGTTGCACGAAAGAGTTTTGATTGCATTGGTTACAACTTCCATGCGGAGGGTGTTAATCTTTTGTTGTTATATTATATCAAAAAAAGATTAACCCCCTCCGCAAAGAAGTTAAAACCAATGCAATCAAAACTCTTCCGCGTAACTTTGTGGATATAGGTGTATATTTAATTATTGTCGATCTCATAATAGGTAATTTATTTAATATCCCTAATCACCCGAAAAAATAGAAGATATGGCAACGTTGTAAATTTTCAAATTTCTAGATTAGGTCTAGAATATATTTGTCTCTCTCATTACATAGGAGAGAGAAAGAAGGATATATCAAATGTCAAACTCAATTTTCTTTGTTATTTTGTTAAGAAAAGTGTTTTTCTGTAAAATATTGGACATTTTTCTATCCCCAATCAAGTGTGGCTTTTAGATAAACTATAATATAATGAAAATATAGTGAAATTATTACTTTATAGGGCCGAAATAAAGAAAAATTCAATGTTGAAATAATTTTCCGTTTTTCTGAAAAACGGTAAGAGGCCGCCAAGAAAAAAATAGATTCGTAATCTACGACCTCAAAATAGTGTGTATAATAATTTTGGTGAAAATCGGACGATTTCCAGTTTTCCCAATAATTACCACATTTTTTATTATTTTACAGGTAACACCTAAATATTTCATAATAATGATTATTTTTTTACAGACGGATGTAAGAAGATAGCTTTTATTTTTATTGTTTCAGTGATCCAGGGGGGGGGGCAAATGCCCCTTCTTGCCCCCCCTGTCCGGCGCCCATGTGGTTACCCATCATCATCAAATTGATTATATCCTGTATATTTTCTGTCTTATTTGCAAACATATCACCATTAAAATAAATAAATATATAGCCATAGTTTTAGAGATATTAATAAATAAATTTAAAAAAAAAAATTCCCATTTTTTGTCAGCAGAAAATGAAGCATTTTGATTATTTGATTTAATCTAGCAAATTTTTGTCACATAATTATACGTTTATATCTAGTTTTATTTTTATAAAATAACTTAGTTTTAAAAGTCTATCTTTTTATTATTGTTGAATATTTTACTTTACATCCTTTAATTTTTGTTAAATTAACAAAAGCTGTATCACAGCCACCTAGGTTTTATCAAATTTAACCAAGATCATAAAAATGAAAATATCTAGGAAAATCTTTGTTTGGGGGGTTAATAATATTATGAAGATATATGAATTATCCATTGAACACCGGAATAATATGCTGGGTGTTCCATTTAAAACAAAGCGACAAATTGCTTTTAAAAGTAACCAATGTTCAACATTAATTTTGTCTCACCCTGTATAACTTTTCGAGTCAATTTTTAATTTGGTTTAACATACGATGGTTATTTTAACTAAATATCAGGCAAATTACAAATTAGGTAGCTGTTCTTGAAATGTAAAACTTATTCTTTATTTTCACAAAATGTGAAATAGCCATATGCTTCTTTAATGAACTTCACCTTTACTTTTTTGCATTAAACCCAACTTTGATGCGAAACTTTTTTTCAGGACGCCCTGTAGAACTATATATATTTATATAAAATGCTTTCAGTTAACCTACATTATGCTCCAAAAATTTAATTTCGATATAAACTACCGTTCTCCTTGGAGCCTCCGCGAGAGGCGCCACCCTGTATATGAGTGTCCCATTTAAAAAAAAATTCTGATCCACCCCGTAGCAGTTATTTATAGAAGGTACTTCAAGAAATATTTTCCTGAAATACTAGAATAGTACATACTTTAGGTTTTCATTTACAAAATTCATTCTTTTTTGTTACAATACGGATCTATACTAATAATTATAAAACCCTTAAGTGACTGACTCACTGATTAATCACGATCCTGCTCAAACCACTCAACGTAAGAAGCTGAATTTTGCCATACAGGTTGATTCTAGGGTGTAGCGGTTTGATAAGGGATTTTTCCAGTTCTAAGAGGGTGAAACCACCCCTCAAATATTACAATATTTTTTATTTAAAAAACGGTCAAGTTTCCGAAAAAACGCTTAAACACCTATATTTTATTTTGTTTTTTACATATTTTAAGATTTTTTAAAAATGTATACAGGGTGTTTCATAAAATATGATCATTGAGTAATCACGATTCTGCTTAAACTGCTTGACGTTTAAAGCTGATTTTTGGCAAACGGATTGACAGTGGGGTGTAGAGGTTCGATAAGGAGGGGTTTCTCGAATTTCAAATTCCAAGAGGGTGAAAACGCCCCTCAAATTACAATATTTGTTATTTAAAAAACGGTTAGTCTTTCGGGAAAACGCTTGGACACGCATAATTTATTTTGTTTTTTACATATTTTGAAATCTTTTAAAAAAATATACAGGGTGTACCAAAAAGTTGGGTAATTGATTAACCACGATTCTGCTTAAACGGCTTGACGTAAAAAGCTTATTTTTGGCAAACGGATTTTTCGAAAGTCAAATTCCAACGAGATGAAACTACCCCTCAAATATTACCAAGTTATACAGGGTGTTTCAAAATAAATGCGAAAAATTTCAGGGGGTGATTCCTTGTTCAAAATAAAGGGTAGTTTGCTTTATAAACGTTGGGCCAAAAGTCAACCATTAGGGAGATATCGCGGTACAAAGATGGCGGAAAAATAATGTTTTTATTTTTTATCTTGAAAACGAAAAATGATAGACTAATGAAATTTTATGGAGGCATTACTGTTATGAAAACATACTTTCTGGTAATTTTCTCACTTTTTTAAAATGAGTGGAAGGGGTTGAAATAAACTACCCCTATCATTCTTGTTATCGAAATTTAAAAAAAAACCATATCAAACACATGCAAAAAAATTAATTTGGATAGCTTGGTTTGTTTAGTTACTTTTTTATCTCTTGTGTTTCTTTGATAAAACTCGCCGATTTGAAATTAAAAAATAAAATGTAAAGCATTACATGTCAGGATAAAAAACATTTTTAGATAAAGAATCTAGTGATAATAACGCTAATAATAAGAATCTAGATAATAACGTATTGCAGTAGAGTAATGTCAATAAAATAATATTAGAAACATCCTAAAAAGTGACAGCGGCCCACTAGATTTTTTCCTAAAAAAATTAGAGCAGCCCGCTAGATTCTTTATCTAAAAATGTCTTTTGTCCTGACATGTAATGCTTTACATTTTATTTTTTAATTTCAAATCGGTGAGTTTTATCAAAAAAATACAAGAGATAAAAAAGTTTCTAAACAAACCAAGCTATCCAAATTAATTTTTTGCATGTGTTTGATAAGATTTTTCTTTAAATTTCGATAACAAGAATGATAGGGGTAGTTTATTTCAACCCCTTCCACTCATTTTAAAAAAGTGAAAAAATTACCAGAAAGTGTGTTTTCATAACAGTAATACTTCCTTAAAATTTCATTAGTCTATCTCTTTTCGTTTTCAAGATAAAAAATAAAAACCTTATTTTTCCGCCATCTTTGTACCGCGATATCTCCCTAATGGTTGACTTTTGACCCAACGTTTATGAAGCAAACTACCCTTTATTTTGAACAAGGAATCGCCCCCTGAAGTTTTTCGCATTTGTTTTGAAACACCCTGTATAATAATATCGCCATATTGTTTTTTCTCATGCTGACATAAATGTGAGAAAATTTTATCCACTTAGTATGTTAATAGAAATTCTTGCTTTGCTTTATCATCACCATTACAAATGATTAATTCGACGCGAACAAAGTCGCGGGTACACGCTAGTTATTCATAAAATAGAAGTGCCTATTTTACAAAGTTTTATTCATTTTTAAGCCAAAGCATCAGATACAGATCAAACGACGATCCCAAAAAGGAGCTAACTAACAGAATAGTGTCTTCGCTGGACTATTTCGAAAAACTGAACGCCAACGGCTGCGAATACAGGGTGTTCTGCGAGCTGTTGGTCAGTGCGAGTCAAATGCCCAACGCCGAGCAACATGTCAACAATTTATTGGATAGTTTCTCGAAACAGTAAGTCTTTAATTTTTATTTGAATCATTTTAATAGTGTTTTGTACGTTGTGTTTTATTTTAGGTATGTTTTTTAATGTTTTTATGTTTTAATATAATTTTTAGAGAGATTGATTTGAAGAGTCAAGCAGAAATTTTGAAGGAAGTTTTTGAAGCTGTGAGAAATCAAAATTGCAGTCCCATATCATGTGACTATATTAAAGCACCCACATAGCTATAGGTATATTTCATATTTCAGTGTTTGTTTTATTATTATACAGGGGGTAAATAAATAAGTGCAAAAAAAATTAGGATGTGATTGATTTTACAAAAAAATGTTGATATTTATAAAATTATTGGATTTGCCGTAATTTATTAATTTACTTTCTGTATACAGTTAAGCTCTATTTTGTAAGTATCTCGGTATCTGTATTATTATATTATTTTTAATTAATTTAGTAATAATTAATAAGAACTTTCAGTTTTGAATGCTTATATATTAAAATTAAGTTAATATTTTTATGAAGACAAATAAAGTTAATAATATGTTTTTTATTGCCGATGCTTGTAGTATGTAATTAGTTATTCTGAGTATGTAATTAAAGAATTAATACTTAATTGTGGCTTAATACTGGTTACTTCTTTGATCATATACCTACCGTATGATCGAAATAAAAAGTAGCGTCAAGTTGGCATGGAAATAACGATCACTAACATTTTTCATACCGTGCCGGCAACTGTTATCTTTGGGTCGGTACTTACATGTGTGGAAGTAAATCGCATAGGGATCTTATTAAGTCGGAGTGAGAGAAATGCGACGGTGTGTTGTTGCGGCGTTGCCGGTACGCCTTGCCCTATCAGGTAAAGTCACGATCGCAAACCTCTTATTTTTAAACGACTTTTTTTTTCGAAAAGATAACTAGATAAAATCATTAGATATGTTTCTGAACATCTGAAATGGAATTATAAGGATATCGTTAGAGTGTCCCTTTATTTATACCGATAAAACCTTAGTAATCGCGATAATTTAACAACTCAACTTTTTAACACATAACACGCCATAACTTAAGAACCACTTTAGATATCGAAACTTTTTTTATTTTGAAGATCAGATCTTTTACAATATGTTTAAATAAGAAAAATTAGATAAGGTTGTTTTTTTCCATTCAAAAATTTTAACAACCCATCCATTTACTTTTTGTGCATAGCAATTTTCAGCAATCGTGTAACTTTTTTATTTATAAAGATACTCACATACTGTCTGCGAAGAAAATTTAGCAGAAATGTTAAGGAAGTTTTTGAATAAATTCTATTCATTTTGAATTCAGAGTTCTAATAGCGCTACCACTGTCGAACACCAACTCAGTTCCACTTATTTTTACCAAAAATGCAAGTGTTTCTAACTTGCACTTAAAATTTTTCAAGTTATAGGGGAATTACAACGACTCGTTAATAAATAAACCAAAAAAGTATCGCGAGACGTAACTAAATCGTGAAACTCAACGCATGATGTACACCTTTCCATAGAACTTTAAGTACTGACAGAGATACGATTGGGTCGACCGGTGGACTGCGACGAATCTGCTATATCCCCTTCCACGTCTCTTACCCAAGTAGTATTTTCACGACTTGCGACCACATGTTTACTAAACACAACGTTGGATTAGTTACAAAAAATAGTTAGCTCCCTACCTTAGGTATTAAAATAAATTTAAACGTTTTTATAATGTTGTGCCGACGTTGGACTAGTAGTACAGCAAAGTAGAAGCTTCTGCGACGTCGAATAAACGTTGTCTTATAACCTTTTTTGCTTAAGTGATCTTTAGGTGATTCGGACAACGTAGTTACAACGTTGGACAATATACCTAGAGTTTTCCGACGTCAGTTTCAGGACCTATTCCAACATTATGCAAACGTAGTCTGTTTTACTAATTCCAACGTTGTTTAGATTTCCTTTATTCTTGCGTTGGTAGGACGTCGAGTCACTATCTTTTTGCAACTGTATTGAACCATAACCTTAAATCTTAAATTTTCACTTCATTGTTCTGTTCAGTCAGACAGTTCAGTGCTGTTTTTGTTTTTATAAAAAAAAACTTAATTAAAATGGGACATAAGAAAGCTACATATAAAACTAAATTTAAATATACATCGACATATTTTACCTATAGTTTATCCACTCCCTCGTTTATTTAGATTATAGAGGGCGGCACAAGCTAGACTCTAGGATGACTAAATTAGCCAAACTCGGGACTAGTATACTACCTGTTAAGGCCGAACTGCGACTTTATTAGTCCAGTATGCGACTACTCGAACTACTCCATCTTAATCTCCAAAACAACAAAGTGAAAGCCGCCATGTTGTTAAATAAGAAAATGTTTCGTTCCTAAAATAGCAATTCCTGCTTTTTGAATACATTAACTTGAAATATTCAAATATTAAAAAAAACACACCCTAAAAAACACGCGGAAACAATTTTTTCGACTGCGAATAAATTTTTCTCATTTTACAAAAAAAAAATTCAAGATAATTTTTAAAACTTCTTTAATTTTAAGGCCCATTAGTATTTTTCAAAGTAGAAACAATACATTTATCAATAAAGTTGTTTGCGTTTAACTTTTTTGCCTTGGGTAACGAGTTACAGAGTCGGTTAAAGTGTTTCAATAATTATGATCTTCAAACATCCTCCACACTTAAATATTTTTGTTTTGTTTTCCTTCACTGCCATCTGACATGTCTCTAACTAAATCATAAAAATAATATTTTTACTATAATTATCCCAATTTAGGATAAAACGCGACTTAGACGCCATATTAGTTTTGTATTTCTGTGAATTAGGATTTTAAACAACGTTGCAGTTTGTACTAAATTAGGCTTCTAGCCAACGTCGGTATCCAACGTCGTTTCGACCCAAAAATTATTCTTGAGAAAAATGATTGGGTGGCTTTGATAAAAATTTACTGTAGAAAATGCCATATGAAATATAAAACGGCGAATATCTGCATAACCATTAAAAATTTTGAAATACTCTTAATACAAAAAATGTTCATTTTTAATTCTGCATCTATTGAAAAATAAAATACAGGGTGTGCCATTTAAAAAAACGAAGAAAAATTATTTTATATTTTAGAAAGTTTGGCGTAGAGTTTTGAACATCCTGTATGATTTACGATTTCCATAATTATAGCAAAGTAAGTACAGACCATCTGAAGTAAATACCTAATATAGTTTAAATTTAAGGACAGTTCTTAAATTATTAATAATTTTTTTAAGACAGGCTCAAAAATTTATAATTTTTATTTATTTATTAATATCTCTGAAACTATCAAAATATATTTACTCATGTCTTAGAGTTATGTAAAGTGATCTGAAAGGAAGCCAAAAATGCAATAATATACAGGGTGTTCCATTTAAAAAAAAACTCATCCCGATCCACTCACACTTTTTTGAGCTACCCTATAGAAGTTAAAATATTTTCCTGAAATACATCCCCGTACATACTGTAAATTTACACTTAAACAAAATTCCCAAGTTTTTTATTCTAGGAGCTACAGATGCCCGACGCACTATTGCCGGACCCTGTATATAGTTGCACAAAATCTATTCTCTAAAATTCATATTATACGAAAATCACTGAAATAATAAAATACCTAAAAAGAAAAATTATTCGTTATCACGTTATCAGTATTACAAGGTATTATTATACCGTTTATTTCAAAACCTCAATACACAAGAACAACTTAAGATACAAGCGTAGATATAAGATTCATTTAATGATAAACATTAAATTTAATATACCCTTGTACACCTTATCATATAAAATCTCATAATAAATCGATTGTTATGAACTGCGAGCAAAACCTTATAATTTACTTTTAGTTAATTTAATTAGCGTGTGATTTTAAGGAAAAAAAAACAGATATTTACACAAATAATTATTCAATTAATTTTAATTAAGTTGGGTATATTTTCCTGGACGATAAATTAAAAAAAAGATGCTTTAAGAAAGTGAGGCTTCATTAATTAGTAATTCGCATATTTTTGGATATTTCTTCTTTCGTTAAACACATGTTAATAATTTAATTAAGTAACTTTCGTAAAATGTGTATTGGAATTGATTCGAACATAGTGAAAGGAACTAAAAATTCTATATTATTTATTAGTGAAAAACTCCCGAAAGCTTTTTTTCGGAATTTTGAATTTGTCAAATACAAGACGAATGTACCCAAGATATACAAAGAAACCAGATCTATAGAGAAATCGATAAAAGTTTGCGTGTAAAAGCTTGTACAGGGTGTCCCATTTTAGTTGAAATCATACGGTATCTCCGTTATTAGTGAAGATAGAAGGGTGCGGTTTGCACAAACCTGTCTCACTTTTTTGTCAAACGAAAGACGCCGTAAACAAAATTTTCATAGCCCTCTTCGTTTCCGAGCTACAGGGTCTTTTTGAAAGTTTTGCAATTTGGGACACCCCATGTTTCTCTGTTATTGTTAAAGCTATCGAGAAGGTGAAAACTGTTTATTCTAGAACTTTTTACGTAGAATACAGTGGCGTAGTCTGGTTTTCTACCAAAATTTTTTTTTAAAATATGAACTAAAGTTATGTTTTTTTAAATGGAACACCCTGTATATTTATAAATCATATGATCTGTCTTGCCATAAGTTTCTCAAAAATATATATCACCCTATATTTATTTTCACTATTTACTGCAATATTTAAAAGTTTTTATTAAAAGATCATATTTATTAGTAGGCCATGATTGATAATAAAAGAAACTAAAGAATTATTAAAAGTATACTGCTATCTGTCTCTTGTTTTATTTTGGGAGCCGCTAATAAATTCTTTATATATTAAGGAAACTTAACTCCCTACCGCTATTTGTAAATCTTGAAATATGTGTATACGTACGAATAATATATCGTATCGGAAATTTTAGATATTCCTTTAGCTAATTTACGTGAAATATACTTTCAGCAAGATGGGGAACATTCCCCCTCATACCTATGAAAATAGTAGAATACTGTTAAATTATTATTTTTCAAATCAATGAATTGGAACCAATGAACACATATTGATAGCCTCCTCGATTCCCGGATTTCGCCGTTCTCGATTTCTGATTTTGGGGATTTTTGAAATACGAAATATATCGTGGGCACTACAACCTACAACAATGTCGAACACCTGAAAAATGCTTTAATAATTCAAGCTTTTAGATATTTGCAAACCCATTCCGTTATAAAAAAAGAAAAATATATTCACAGTTTCAGTGGTAACAGTTATTTCAAAAGTAAAA